GACCGGGCAGCAGATACAACCATGCCTTGCGAAGTTGTTTTTGCTCTGCTTTCAGGATCTTAGCGACTCTGCGCGCTTCTACCTGCTTTGGACGAAAGACAATCAAGACATCTTGTAGACACGCAGACAATACCACACCTTTGCATTCTGACGCTCCTGTCGCAGGCGCCAGACAGGCGGACAAAGTTTCCTAGCAACAAGCAGACGATTATTTGCGAAGGACGTTCTACACTCCTGCGGTGCACGTCGAACATCGTTGCAACACTGTGCCAAAAGAACGCTCGAATTATGGAGCCAATTCCGGAAGTTCTCTGGAATGCTTCGAAGGGCCTCCTCTGTAAGGGAGGCTTAAAGGGGGGCTTAAAGCTTAAAGGGGGCTTTCAAGGGGATAAAGGGGGCTTGAAGGGGGACTTAAGCCCCCCTTTGTCAAAGAGGGTGGGACTCTAAGCCCTCGAAAGCGAGAGAGCCACCTAACTAGCAACAAGCCTTCTAGATACGGACTCCCCCCGACCCTACTACGTCTCGACAGAGCTTCCCTTAAGGAATTCTTGAGCCGCTTAAGGACGACACGACGACGGAGTCAACACCTTTCCAAGAGCTCCAGACCCTCTCAAGTGTTCGAACCCAATTAAAGCAAGCATTACGATCGTGATTTTTGCCCATGATCTTGAATGCCAAGCAGGCTGTGGCCTTTCCGTCAGTGTGTCTGGCTTTTCGGCCGAGGCGACTGTGCTAGGCTACTCCGAGTCCACTGTGCGGATGAGCAGGCTCTCAATGGGTTCAGTCCATTGGTGGACTCCAAGCCTGACGGACCTTTGTCTCTGGCCATTTCGACTTTTAGGCGCCATCAATAGTTGACCACAGTGGCTGGACGACTCAACTGGCAACCGTAAAAGAGGCCATTGCTGCAGGGCATGTTGTCAGTGTGCGGCACTGTGTGTGCTTGCGACTTGCCACGACGTCGATCGACGCTTTAGGCGCAAGGACTTCTGGAAAGCAAAAGACGCGGTGCCGCCGCAGTGTGCTGCATGAAGCGCGCTCAGTTTGGACTGCGAAATTGGTAGCGGAGTGCTCGGTTCCGATCTGGAGCAATGGCAGGCGGAGGCGCCCGCCTGGCAAAGGAAGCAAGATGGCGGGCAACGGCCGGCCGCTGAGATGGCGGTGCACAGCCGTTAGGAACGGCTGAAGTGAATGAGCCCAATGACGGCGACGAAGCTGTCCGGCCGCAAGATGGGTCACCATTCCGACCATCTGGAACTCAGGTGAAGATGATATCTGGGACAACCAAGATGGTGGCGGGGCCAAAGAGAGGAACACTGAAGAAGCTGCCGATTCCCGAGTTCGAGGGGGTGGGCACCGATGAGGCCGAGGTCGGAAAGGATGCCCGGAGCTACATCAGGAAGGTGCAAGTGTGGCTGCGTTGCACCCGGCTTGCTGGAGATCAGCGAGCCCTGGCTCTGTACAACACTCAGTGGAAGACCTGGGTGCACGCCGAGGAGTTCGACCTCGACGTGCTGGCCTCCCGCACCGGGGTAAGCTATTGCCTTGAGTGGAGACGCGCTTCGCCGAGGTCGAGCTGAACAAGATATCGCAGGTCATGGGACCTCTTCAAGCACTTTCGCCGGAAGCCCGACCAAACGATTAGAGACAAAATTGTCCAATTTGAACGGCTCCTGTTGGCCGCAGGAAGTGGAATGCGAATTGCCCCGCACCGTCAAGGCGTGGCTGTTCACAGAAAACTGCCGCCGGTTCTGGCCGCTTGCCCCGCACTGAGCACTCTTCACCTTGTGCCAGTGCCCCTTCCGCTTCGGCAGGGTCCGTGCCCTGCGTCGCGGCCTTGTGCTTGTCCTTGGCCGTCTGATAGGCAACGTACCCCCTGCCGGCGGCGGCCGTCATGTGCACCGTGTTCTTGGTCCAGCGTCCTGGGTTTCCTTGGCCGCCACGCCATCCGCCGCGAGCCTCCGAGCTGCTCTTGCGCAGGGTGCGTTCCTGCACACGGGCCGCCTGCTGTAGCAGACGCAGATTCCATTGGTTCCCCACGCTCGCCAGCAAGCAGCGTGGCAGAGCGCCAATGAGTGCCAAACGGTGCACATGGTGTACATGACGGTGGTGACGAGAAGACTGGAGACAGCGAGAACGCCCGGGGCACAAGACCGACCGCGACACCGAGGAGGCCCAGGACGACGCCGACAGCACGATTCGGGACAAGATCGACTGCGACACCGGGAGGGTCCAGGGACGGTCTAATGACTGGAGGCCACCAAAGAGGGTCTGCGGAGCCTATGGTGGCCATTATCGACACGGCGTGCACGAAGACGGTCGCCGGCCACTCCTGGTACGAGGCCTATTGCGAGCTGGCCGAGAAGATTGGCTTCACGCTGGAGGTGCTGGAGGTGACCGACAACTTGACACGGACCCACCGGTCGCACTTTGCCGTGAAGGCCTGGTTTGCCCTCGGGGAGCGCCTCTTCCAGACCAAGGTGGCGGTTGTGCCGTGAGAAGTCCCAGTCCTGCTGAGCCGGCCGGCGCTGAGCTCTCTGGGCTTGATCTGCGACGTCGGCGGCAGTCGTTGGTTGTCAGTTGGAAGCGCCGTGTCTGTGAACAAGGAGCGCGGCAACCTGCTGGTATGGGTGCCACCCGTGGAAGCATACATGACTCAGGGAAGCGTTGCCGGGGATGCTCGGAACCAGGGGTGCTTATGCAAAGGTGTTCTTCCCGAAGAAAGTAGCTCTCGAAGTGCACAACATGTTGGCTGCACCGTGGGGCTTGGGTGGTCAGAGTTTCCTTGCTTGGTGGCGTGGGGCGGATCAGTCCAGGGACTTCTGGCTGGAGACCTCCAGCGAGATGATCAGAATCCGTCACGCCCCGTAAGCACCTGTTCGTGCCCTCCAAGTGGAACACACAGCATCACGACCTCAAACGCGCCCTCCTGAACATCCTGGGACCCACTAGGACTACTGAGTATATCTCCTGCTTGAACGAGGGTGCAGTGCTGCTTTCACAGAGCGACTAGTGGCTGGAAGCATGTTCAGAGACCACTTGTGGACTTTAGGTCGGCCGCAGCCGCTTCTCGAAAGCCGACGTGCAACTCCCAGCCCTGGACTCCGCATCGGCGACACATGGCCTCGAGCTCCCGTCGGTATGGAAGATGAAAAAGGACCAGATCCTGGGCGAGCTTCGGGGCTATGGCGTGGCTTGCCACGAGCGCTGGACACTGCTCGAGGTGAGGACCATGCTTCAGGAGCAGCGCAAGGCGAGAGCACCCGTCACCGAGAAGGACCGCATAAAGGGGATCTCCAAGCTTACGCTGGGCGACAAGCCGACTCGGGGAACCTTGATCGCCCTTCTGCGCAGCGCGAACCAGACGCCCGGGGAGCAGGTGATGGCGTTCGGGAAGTTCAAAGGGTGGATGTTCAACGAGACACCGCCCGGCTACCGCCAATGGGCCCAGGTCGAAGTGGCGGCCAATCCAAACCACAGCCCGGAGTTGGCCATGTTTGCCTTGTGGGCCGAGACGGAAGACAAGAGGGTGAGAGAGAAAGCCGCGGTCTCGGCGAACAAGGTGATCCAGAATTTGGTGGAGGATCCCGAGGCGAACTCGAAAGTGCCGGTCCCAACGGCGAAGGCACTGGGTCTTGGCTACGGAAGCAGCTCGGACGGCTCCACTCGATCTGCGACGTCGAGTTCTTCAAGGCCAGCGGCGGCGGCGAATGAAGACAGCCGGCCAGGAAAGAGAGCGACCCGTGGGCTCAAAGCGGTGCTGCAGGCCATGGTGTTCTACACCACCGCCGTGGCCGCCCACACCACCGAGGTCCTGGCTGGCCCGGCGCAAGATCTGTGGGATGTTTTCCAGTCGCAGCACGCGGGGCCCGCCGAGGAGCACAACCACGCGGACTTCTTGGAGATCTTTGCGGGGGAAGCTCGGCTGTCCCAAGTGGTGGCCCGACTAAGAGCCGCGCTCGAACTCCACGACCACAGCTACGGGCACCGAGTGGCGGAGGAGGATCTCGTGCTGGTGGCCTTCCATGACGCTGCCTGGGCTAACGTCTACCACTCCGACGTCACGACAGGACCTCGAATGGAGCGAAGAACACACACTGTCTTCCTAGTTGGCCTCCCTGGTGGTGGTATGTGACCGCAGATCTTTCGAGGGTGGCTTCGGTAAGTTCGGAGTGGAAGAGTGAGACCAGCCAAAGAGTGTGTCGCTCCACGTTTGCTGGGAGACCATGGCGTGCTGTGACGCCTTGGAAGCGGCACTGTTCCTACAGTTTGGAGGTTTCATCTACCACAGCTTAGGCCTTGTAGCCAGCCCAAAAACTTCTTTCACTGTTCCACAAGCTGCCCTGGAAAGAGTCCCGGTATTTCTCTCTTAGGCTGCCTGAAATACAGCCTTCGCGGTGCCAAGATGCCATTAGAAGGCAGCTCTCACATCTCCGACTGACACTTCAAAGGGTGCTAAGGGGCCCCCCCCACATTCGGACCCCCAGATTAAAATCCCGAGTTCAGTCCAACTTGAGTACCATGGATGAAGACGGAGGCGGAGGGCAGAGAGAGAGAGAGAGAGAGAGAGAGAAGAGAGTGAGAGAGAGATAGAGACAGAGAGACAGACCTTGAACCATCAACAGTCGGCCAGACAAAGAACAAACTCAGATGCTTCGACGAAAGCCTGCACAAACCCGAATCCCAATCATCAGATTTCAAGTCCAGCATAGACCGCTACCGCAACCCTAAGCATCGCAGTTGGGGCCTTTTTCAGGGGGCGCACACAGTACGGATGCTGCGAGGCAGCCGAATTGGCAAAATGCCATTCGGAAAACAGGCAGAGTAGAAGTCGCGACCATGGCGGCAACACAAATCTCGCTAGTCTTGTTGAAGCAACACACCGAAATATTTTGTAACACCGGGAAGCCCTTAGGCCGCGCCCTCTACTTCAAGGCGTGCCAACATCGTCTGCAAGGCTTCACGCAAAGTCCCTTCAGCAGGCCTTAGCCGTGACAACATCAGGGCGAACTCATATCGCAACAAGCAGCCAACTTAGCACACATGCTGACAAGTTTCGCTTTGTAGTCTCTATCATACGCAGCGTGTCCCTGGAACTTCGCATGGTAGGCCATCTCACACCAGCGAAAAACGGTCACCAAACTCGCCAGCATTTGCTCCACACTTCCCCCAGCTGGCCAGGAACTGGTCTTCGTTCGCTGATAGTCTTCTAAGCCTGGGTAGATAAACACTTGTCGATAAAAATGCACAAGAATTCTACTGCAATGTCGCCTGTTTGCATGAGCCAAGCCACGCACATACTCGATCAGAAACCGCCGTTGGCGAGGTTGATGGTACATTCTAACAGTGTCCACCGGAGGCAACAATTCACGAAACTCTGGCGGTGCCTGCACTCGTCCGTAGAAGGCTCTGCGCCCAGGGCTGTCGGGATCTCGCAGATCCCGCGGCCTCCGCACTTGGGGTGGTCCTAGAACTGGTTCACCAACAGCTGGTGCAGCAGGAGCTTCGTTGGAACCAGCAGCAGGAGCCGGTCCTTGGTCTGCACCATCACCACCAGCCGAGCTAGGGGCAGCCCCTGGCACACCGGCACCTCTGACTGCCGCACGCTCACGCTCAGCGGCATGTCTTTCGTTCTCTGCCTGAGCGCGGCGTTCCAGAATGCCGGCGGCGCATTTTAGCACATTGCTGAAGTGCGCCTTGTTCTCCGGATCCAACTGACTCAAAACTTGCAAGATCTCAACCGGGCAGCTGTCGTCCGGCATCATCTCGTTCTCATCCTCGGGTGGCTTCGCATCTCGAGCCAACTTGTTCAGAATTCGTTCTCTGACTTCCTCCGCTTCGTTGCCCAGCACGACATCCACCAGAGCTCGTGCCAGATCTCGCTTGAGGATCCGATTGCCACGGGCAGGCTTGTCCGGATACGGAATGTTCTCCGCTGCCAAACACCTCTCGATCTGATCTTTTGTCAGGAACACGCCGCTCAGGAGGGCGCTGGGAAGGAGCCCCTCCACCTGAACACCTCGCTGTTTGATGCAAATGCCACGTTCAATAGGAGCGCAAGCGGGGGGCACAATATCATACGGAACGTGCCTCCAAGGACTGTCGCGTCCTGGAGAGATGTTGAACACGGCTTTCGGAAGCCGCTGCTCACTTCTCGTGTTGAGAAAGAAAAAGTTCTCGCCCATGGTCGTGACTTTGGTCAGGCTCAAGACAAAGGTGGCGTAGGAGAGGAACCCCAACGACAGGACATAGCTGCCACTCTCCTGGTTCAAGTAGACATGTCCTTTGACAAGCACACAGCCTCAGCCGCAACGCAAGCAGGTTTCTAATGTCTAGATTTCGCAACCCTAACATACGGCGACAGCTTCGAACAACCAACCAACAAACTCATTCTGCAATAAAGGTTCCTGCCCAGCACGACCGGAGCATCTGCAAGTCCAGGCCATCTTGCGCATACCGCAGGATGAAAGCGGTCGCCGCCGCCGCTTTTCTCTGTGCAAAGTATCCTGCTGGTCTCCACTTCTTGATCTGAGCTTTGGTGACATTCTCGAAGGGCAAATCATGGAACTTACCGGCGAACGGCTTCAAACTTTCGAACTCCTTCACATCTTCAGCGCTCTGCATTCGAATGTCGCTCTGTGCTGGAACCAAGGTTTTCGAGCCTCCCTTGCTAGCATGCTGGTTGGCAGTCAAGTACAGCATCTTTGTAGCGTCGCCCATGCTGTCGGTCTTGCTGTGGCGTTGAACAGAATCCTTCAAGTAGGCGAAAGCATCTTCGCACATCCGTTTGGTTTCAACAGAGGAAGCGAACATGACAAATCCGAGCTCGCGTAGGCTTTGCTCCCGAAGATTCCACGACTGCTGTTCACCTTGAATGATCAATTCACGGGTCAGCACCCACCAGAAGGTTCCCAAGTCGTCTATGAGGCTGCCGACGGCCTGTCGCATTGGCCCTGGTCCTTGCTGCCTGTATGCCAGATCCACGTTGCGGAAGCATTTGGAGAGGCTGCGCAAAAAAATTTCCGAAGCATCCAGATCGGAATCTTTCTCGGCAAATACTCGGGCGAAACAGTGTGGGAAGCAAATACTGTGATGCATCTGGCTCCACACGCGGGCACTGCTCAATTCCACAACAAAATTCCACATCGATTTGCAGATTTTGCAATCTACCCGAACAGTTGGATCGTCCAGAGACACTGGCAGGTTGTCGTTGTCGTAGGACCGGAGGTCTAAGCCGCGGAGCACATGAGGCGCTTGCAACAGCTGCGCGAAACCCAGCACGGTCTCGTACCAAGAACCCAGGCTGCGAGCTGCCTGAAAGTGGAGCTTGTCAAACGCATCGCCTTTCTGTTTCTCAAGCCAGTTCGCATACTCCTGATGGAGGACCGAACCTGTGTGCTTTTGTAAACACCAAGCTGAAAACCAAACTTGTTGGACATTACCAAAGACAAAAGACACAAGACCCAGAACTCTGGAACACTAGAAGGCACCTCCGTAGATCAAAATCCGCGTTCGCAAGTGATGCTCATGATCATGAAGAAATTCTTCAATCATTTCGTCCGTGCCCTCGAAAGACTCCCGCAGCAGCTTGAACTCAGCACGGTTGTTTGGCTCTGGCCTTTCCGGCTGCGGCGGATCCTCCGCTTCGTGTTCATTGAAGTCCTGCACGACTAGAGCAGGCAGCAACAGGCGCACATACTGCACTTCAATTCACGTCTGGCAACTCCCACCAATAGCCCTAAACGTCATGAGCCACATTTAAAAGCAAGCCCGATCACACGTAGAACATGTGAAGCTGGGGGGTCAGACTCCGGGTGGCCTCGTTGTCCAGAGGATGTGTTTGGTTTGCAACCATGATCACTGCTTCCAGGATACTCCAGTCATAGTCAAGTTTCGTGAAACTTGCCAACATGCCAAACCACTGTTTTGATTTCGCCTTAGGAAGCTACAAAGGTGTGAGAACAGCATCAACAAAGCAGCAAGACAAGGAATTACTGGCACAACACACTTTAATGCATCCGGAAACATATGGCAGTCGTAGTGTCACTGCACGAGATCCGAGGATTTGTTCCCGAGTCAGCGGGGCAAAGTTGCCTGGTCGGTGCCGATCAAAGTTCACCTTCTCGTTCAATTCGTCCATGTAGTCGTTGCTCGCTTTTGAAACCAAACGTTCCTAGGTTAGCCATCTACATGCATTCCCCTCTGTGTTTGCAGCAAGAACAAATGGCATGGATCGGCTGAGGCGCTGCTGCTTGCTTGATCGTGACCCTCCGTTTCCCGCTCTTCCATGGCCCTGCACCATAGTTTGCGCACGCGCAAGCCTTCAGCATGGTGCCCTGCAACGATGCTTTGGATACCGACCTCGTGAAATCGTTCCAACTCGGATGGCAGCATTCAGCTGTTGCCACCTCTCTCAAGTCCAGGACGGAAAACAGTAGATTGAAGGCCCGCCATTGGCGGGCCTCCTCGTCCGCCACCTCATCTGATTTGACTGACATGCGCTCGGCTTGCTGATTTGTGTGCATGCCAACTTCCGAATGCATGCCAAATCACGATCCTCAGAGTTGGGCGGTGGGATAGCGGTGGCAACTCCAACGACTTGATGCGGTCACTGCTCAACGGCCCAAGCAGTTTCACGTGATATTCACCGTCGGGTATAAACCTCCGAAGGGACTTGTCTGCCATCACCCGTAGTGCCTGTTCCAAGACTTGCAAAGTGGCCTTGGCTGCATGTGAAGGTTTTGATTGCATTCTGACTGAATCGACGATACCGCAAGCACTTGATTATCGGGGCAAGTTGCATACACAGCATTCGACATGTCGTTCTCGAAGATCTGCCTGTGCAGGGATTGCACCGGCCTGCTGCCCGAACCTTCTCTTACAAAACATGCATGTCGTGGGCCTGACTTCGTCTTCATGATCTGGATCTGCAGAGAGGACGAACTCATCCAGTGCCTCAGGCCCGGCAGCGAGAGCAGCAACCCGAAGCAGCACGACCCCAGTGCAAGGGAACACGACCGCTTCTCAAGCAATGCCCTGTGTTCACATGGCGAAACTGTTTTGTCCAGCTTGCCGTCCTGCGCTCTTTGCAGCTGCCGCGTACATGCGGCATGTTTCCTAGGAAAACCAAAGCGCTAGCGACTGATGCTGCTGCCGCGTACGTGCGGCACTTTTGGAACACCTGTGCTCAGCCTGTGCAGGAAGCCAATGCGATAAGTGATAAGGAGCGAGTGGATTTTTCGGGTCTGTGCCCTGCCAATACCAAGTATCCTAAGAATCCCTATGGCTTCCATGCTCCAACCGAGCAGCAAATGGAGAACATGAAATCAGGCAGGCCGTGCCTACTGTTCATAGGATCCGCCCGGAAGCCGACTTCAGGAATGCGTTCAGGCATCTCAATCTCCGATGCCGCCGCCAGTATCTGCCGCCGTGGCTTCTGACTCCTCCACGGGCTCACCTTCCGATGCTTCCGCCTCCGCTTCTGCTAGAGCTGCGTCGAGGTCGGCATCGAAGTCGGCTGCGTCGGCGTCCTCGCGGCCCTCCGAGCGAAGGGAGGAAGCCTCTGCTTCGTCCAACTCTGGATCCGGTTCGGGAACAGGCTCTGGAGCGAGCAGGGCAACTCGGGGCTCCTCCGCGTCCGCCTGTTCCACAGATTAGGTCAGGAATTGCCACATGAGAGAGTGCACAAGAACAGGGGACAATGCGCAGCAGACTGAACTATGCAATAGGCCTTGCTCTCCTTCTCCGGCTCCTTCAACTTCTTGCGCTCTGGCACGGCGACCTTTTCATTCAAGCGCACTCGTTTCGCGGGAGCAGGAGGCAAGGCTTTGGCTTTCACCGCTGCTGCTTTCGGCCCTGGTGTCTTTGGCGGCGTTGTCGCCGGTGTCGGTGCGCTCTTCGCTGCAGTCATCATGGCGTCCGACTTCCTCACACGACATATCTTCCGCCCGCCAGTTCTCTCTTTCTCTGTCACTGCCTTTGCCTTGTCGTGCGTACGTAACCAAAACAGTCTACATACATATATGTATATATATACACACAAATGTACGTGTCTCTGTGTGTGTGTGGGAACTGATTGCGCATGAACAGCATGCACTTGCAAGGCATGTGTGATGCATCCTCCGTACCAAGAAATGCACAAGCTGCGTGTTTTTACCCGTGTGCGTGACGAACCGTGGGTGCGCGGGTGGGGAAACGAGAGAGAGAGAGAGAGAGCGAGAGAGAGCGAGGGAGAGCGAGAGAGAGAGAGAGAGAGAGAGAGGAGAGAGGGAGAGAGAGAGAGAGAGGACTGCTCCCGCCCCAAGCCCCTAGCAAAGCAAAGCAAAGAGAGAGAGTGAGAGAGACAGAGAGAGAGAGAGAGAGAGAGAGAGAGAGAGAGAGAGAGCCGGAGCATGAGAGAAAGACACCGACAGATGTGGTGCTGGTGGTGGTGCTGCTGGTGCTGCTGCTGGTGGTGGTGGTGGTGGTTGTCGTGGTTGCTGTTGTCGTCGTCGTCTTCGTCCTTGTCGTGGTTTGCGGTTCCTGCTGTTGTTTTGCTGTTTTGTTGTTTGCGGTTTCACGTTTTGCGGCTTACTTGTTGTTCTTGTTACAGCACTGGCATTGTTGTTATTCTGCTTCTTCTTGTGGCTGCTGGTGTTGTTGCTGCTGGTGTTGTTGCTGTTGCTGTTGCTGTTGCTGTTGTTGCTGTTGCTGTTTCTGTTTCTGTTGCTGTTGCTGTTGCTGTTGCCGTTGCTGTTGCTGTTGCTGTTGCTGTTGTTGTTGTCGTTGTCGTTGTCGTTGTCGTTGTCGTTATCGTTATCGTTGCCGTTGTCGTTGTCGTTGTCGTTGTGGTTGTCGTTGTCGTTGTTGTTGTTGTTGTTGTTGTTGTTGTTGTTGTTGCTGTTGTTCTCCTTGTTGTTCTTGTTGTCGTTCTTGTTGTTCTTGTTGTTGTTGCGGTGGGGGTGGTTGTGGTTCTTGGGGGTGGGGGGGGTGGGGGGGGTGGGGGGGGGGGGGGGGGGGTTGGCTGGGGTTTTGGCGGGGGGGGGGCGGGGGGTGGTGGGGGGGGGTGTGGGGGGGGGCGGGGGGGGGGGGGGGTGGGGGGGGGGGGGCGGGGATCTGGAGGCGCAAATCTGGGGGGGGCCCCCTTCTGCCTACATCCGAAAATCTGGGGGTTCAAATCTGGGGGGTCCCCCTAAAAACCCGAAAAAACCGTTTTAGGGCCCGGCTGGGTTCCTGGTCCTGGCTAGTCCTAAAAGACATAAACAAGTCCATAGACAAGGCACGACCCGGGGATTGAATACATTTCTAGGTGGATTACACTTAAACCAGGAACCAACGTGGACTACACCTAAGTTGCGGGGGTCCTCTTCTTCTCGATCTCGTCTTTCTTGGCCTTGGCATCCTTCTCCGACTCCAGCTGCCTCGGGGCTTGGGGCACAAAGGTTGTTTAGGGTTCCTTCCAGGGCTTAGGGCACAAAGGTTGGGGGGGGGCTTAGGGTTGGGCTCAGGGCACAAAGGTTGGGGCAGAGGGGGCTTAGGGTTCCTTCCAGGGCTCAGGGCAAAAAGGTTGGGGGGCTTAGGGTTCCTTCAGGGCTTAAGTTCAGGGCTTCAGAGTTCCGGGTTCCAGGGGCACACCAGGCCTTAGGTTCCGGGTTCCAGGCCACAATGGAGCGACACATAAGCGACAAATAAGCGACAAATAAGCGATACATAAGCGATAAATAAGCGAGAAATAAGCGAAAATAAGCACTAATAGGGCTTAATAAGGCTTAATAGGTCCCCTGAGGGAGGACTTCACAAGGAGGCTCAGGGTCGTGCTGCCGAAAGCCACCCCCCCACCCCCCACCCCCCCAAGGATCAAGCGGGAAGGGAGCAAGCCGGGGCAGCCGAACCCTCCCCCCCACACCCCAAAATCAGACACCAAAGATCTCGATGGAACAGGCCGGGGCAGCCGAAACCCCCGACACCAACACCCAAAATCAGACACCAAAGACCGCAATACTGACAGCGAAGACCCCAATCTTAACCGCAATCCCCGTCACAACCCACTGCCAAAAGAAGCCCTGTTCTTGGATTCCTATTATTACTATCATTATTATCATTGTTATTATCACATTAATTGATCCAATGATTGTCCATAACAAGGACCCAATGTAGCTATTCAATTTAACCATACCCGGGATTCCCTAGGAGGACCCAAACGCTTAGACCCAAACCCCGAGCCGGAATGACAAAACAGGCTCCCCCTGGAGAATTAGGGGTCCCCCCCAGATTTGAACCCCCAGATTTTCGGACGTAGGTAGAAGGGGTCCCCCCCAGATTTGTGACCCCAGATTTGTGACCCAACCCTTGGCTGCTGAACCTCTGTAATCTGTCTATTTTAAAGTAATGGATTCACATGCTTTCACACCAACCCACACAAACGAAACATCCTATGACCCAACACCAAGCAAGAACCCCAATGCAAAGCCACACCGTCCTGAGCTCACGTACATGCAGACAAGTCACTTGGCCGCTCGTTTCTCGAGCGTGCTAACATATCTGGGCTTCACGTGCAAGCCTTTCTCACAATCGTCAACGAACCATTCCTGCGTCTCTGGATGCTGCTGCAGCACCCAGGTTACCCCTTCGGGCAACGGAATGCTCGTATTCTCGGTGTGCAACACTTGCAATCCATCCTCTGCGGTCTGGATGTACGGGAACTCCAAGACCTGCCGCGGGGGGACCCCCGCCCCCAAATCCAGGTTATCAATGCTGGGGTTTGGGCTCTATAGTCTACGGCTTTGGAGTTTTGCCTCGCCATCCATGAGCCCTTCCTCTTCCTCTTCTGAGTCTCCATCATCCGGGACGCGCGTCATCCCAGGAAGTGATACCACGTTGGTGTCGCCATCGCCTTCCGTGCCTGCGGTGCCGCCCGCACTTCCAGCCGCCTCTGCAAAGAAGTCGGACACCGGGATGTTGTCCAATCCTTGGTGCACGAAGAACACACCTTCGTGCTCGCAGAGTGCCCAGTAGCCCTGCCCGTTGCTCGCGATTTCCGGCAAGGCCATCTGTCCCATCGCCTCTCCATGGAGGTGCTGCAGGATGTACCAAACGCCCTCAATGAATGCGACCGAGTAGGTGGTCTCTGGCACGGGCTCCTCGCCTGCCTCCTCTTCTTCCGTGTATGGAACGATCGCACCGGCCACAGCTGCATCCGGAGCAGATGCCTTTGGCGTCGCGGCCGACCCGCCACTGCCGGGCCCACTCTCACCACTCATCAGGTTCCTGACATGCTCTTTCGCTTCTCTGCCAGTATACTGGAGACGAGCGAGCGGTCGCCCCAGTCGCTCATATTCATCTTTGAGCGCCTGCAAACAGGCGGCTTTCTCCATCCTTTGCCACATGCGGCCACACGCAGCAGCTTTAATTACCGAGACACGCAACAAAAAAAATCCTCTCACTCAGCTTGCTTTGCCGCGCAACTCCGGTATGCGAGCCGACGGCTCCATGCCGGTAGCAAGGAAGACCAAGCACAGCAGGGATTCACGGTCACACCCTTGTAGCATTATTTGTGTGCACACGGAGGGCTCGATGAAACGAAGCCACTCCATGAGGTGGGAGTCCTTAGCTCAGGTTTTCGTGGTCATACCCTCTTGTTTCTGAAATGCAACTGGCACAATGAAGAGCATCACAGAATTATGGCAAGCAGGCTTCGGACAGGTAAGCGATGTTGTGGTACGAGGTACTGTAGCGTTCGACTTGTCGTCGGCGAGTGCCTCCCGCGCTCACCTGTGCTTTGCCCGTAGCCTTTGGTGCCTTAGGCAGTGCAGCACGGCCCATCGGATGGTGTGGAGTGACAGACCCGTCGCTCCACCTCAGTACGCGAAGCGCATTCAATGCACGGTCACATAGAATTGAACACGCACGGGCACAACCACCAAGTCACCAAGTAATTGAGGCCAGCCGCGTGATGGCTGGGACGGCTGGTGTCTCCGGCACAGCCTTGGGTGCAGCCGGTGCTGCGACCGGCAAGCGGCTGGCCCGCCGCGGGTCGAAGTTTGCCATCGCCGTTCCTTGCTTTGGCACTGTCATCTTTGGCACGGGTACATGCACGGCAGGGGTCTTCGGATGCATGGGGATCGCTGGTGTTGCCTTGGCTGGGACGGGACGGACACTTGCCACGGCTTTCGGTGGCACAGCTTTCGGTGGCAAAGCTTTCGCGGGCGCAGCCTTGGGTGGGTTCCTCGTGACTGCTTTTGCAGGGGCTGGGGCCCTGCTCGGACGCATGTTGCCTGCACCACACAAGCAACTTCGTCTAAAATGGGATGCTTGAACCTGACACCGGTAGCACTGCAATTGCAAACTGTCTGCTGCAAGCACGCAAATCAATCATGTCATCCAGAATCTGCAAATCTGAGCCGGGAGGGAGGGGGGGACATTGTGTGTGTGAGAAACTGAGAAACCTGTGGCAGTGTGTGGCTGTCTTTGCGTGCGGTTGCGTGTTTCGGTCTTTTGGTACGTACATCTAGGAATGTATGCACGTTTGCATGCACGTATGTCAGTATCTACGCATGCATGTACGTATGTCTGTAAGTATGCATGTATATGTATGTATGTATGTATGTATGTATAGGTATGTATGTATATACGCCTGACAGCGTATGTGTGTGAGTACTACTGTAGCACACCGCAAAACATACCCACCCAACCCCCCACACACACACACACATGTTTCTACATACTGCACACGGTCGCCCCTGACATCGACGACCTGAACCAACGCTGTTGCTCCAGTTTTCACTGGGTTTGAGGGAGCTTTAGTACATAAGTATCAGCTCTCTAGATAAAATAACAGACTATGTGTGTATATATGTGTCTATATAACTAAATGGATAAGCACATAATATTCGTGGCGAACTTTAGAGAAGAACAACGGCTCGGACGACATGGAATGCAATTTCAGGGCCCGTCTTCCGTATTTCACATTGCATCTTGGCCGTCGGTCTGAACTTGGTTCATCCAGACTAGACCAGGCGCTAGCACCCTCGCAGGCTCGACCAATCTAGTAGGTCAGCGCTGTCCCTCTGCAAGCGCGCACCAAAGCAGGTGAGACCACAAAGCAAGACCAATGCGCAATTGCTGAAATGCATGGAATTGCCGCATACAGAATCAGCGCGAAGTGGGTCGAGCACCGGCAAGGCTGGAACACCCAAGACGGAAGCAGCTTCCTTGGTCACGGGATAGCCGTGACATGCCAACTTCTCCACGGGGCACATCCAGCGCTTTCTTGAATTGTTCCACATTCTGCCGCTGCTGCGACGAAGAGTCGGTATTCTGCCACTTGACGCTGACCATGTCACTGTCCAACGAACATTGTCGCCTAGGTACACGCAGCAGTCCTCATCCTCCTCTGCGTTGCTACCAAACCTTTGTCGGTAGAGGCATTCGTAGGCTTCCTTCTGTTCCAATTCTCTGGAGTTCAGTAGATAGCTCAGGTCGTCCGCGCCCTGGGCTACCCAAACATGCTGCACAGGATAGCAACACAAGGATCGAACGTGCTGGAAACACAACAACTTTTTAAGCCGAGATTCTGGAACGAACTGGACCCGCCGCTGGGCCGCGATCCTGAGGGCGTCCAGGTGTATGTCTCTGTCGGAGGCCACGAAGTAGTCCCTGGGACGGGTCTGTATGTACCGCCGTAACTTCTTGCTGACGCAGGCATACGCTTCGTGCACATCGTACAGGTATCTGCCGGTTTTCCGGTGCGAACAAAAGACATAAAGCCTGTCACGGGAGATGCCATCATGCCCTACATCGGTAGGGGAAACTTTCAAAGGGATGACCAAGTAGTCATCCTCCAGCAACGCCGCAATGGCCGTCATGTTCATGTCCTAGGGACCACGGAACCCTGCAATCACGATCGTGCATGTCATGCCCTCGCTACTTCATGCTGACCAAGTGGCTCTCACATTCTCTAGAATGAGCAACGGCGTCTGCTTGCGCTTGTGCTGCGCTGCCCAAGTGATGTAGATTTTGCCGCTTGGCCCTTCTTCGAACAAACGACCATGATTTGCTCGGCTGTTGTCCGGACAGGGCAGTCCCGACACGTCCAGCATCACAGGTGTGTCTACACAACATGGCTGAGCATGAGTCGTGCAGTACTGGTACCGTTGCAACGCAGCCGCAGTGACACGGCGTCTCTTGCACTCAAAACTCCCTCTTGACATGTCCACGGTGCCATCTAGCTGCTCCATGATGTCACCAAACACACACGGCAGCCGGCTACAATGCCCCGTGAAGGAAGACAGCCACTTGTGGTGGTCGACGATGAGTTGCCGGCACGCTGGGTCCACTTCCTGACACAAGCACACACACTCACACACACACACACACACGCACACACACTCAAAAGGACTGCGCACCGAAGCTGCAACCGAGGGACATGGCACATCACCGACTTCCAAGTACATGTATGCTGCAGAAAATGCGAATCATTAATCGTCTTCATGATCACGGCCATACACATCTCTGCAGTGTACGCGCCGGTGCACGATGACGACATGGTGCACTGAGACCGAAGGAAGCATGCCTAGGTACGTGCAAGGTGCAATGGTGACATGCTGTGATGTCTGCGCTTAGCTGTCAACCAAGTGGCCTCCATGCACCACTGCGGGAGTAGCTGGTGCAAAACAGACCAACTCATCTGGATCCCTCGCGCCGCAGTGCTAAGCATTGGCTCTGCTGACGGAACCTTAGATGTTTCAGCGTTTCTGGGCGAATACAACAACCCCAAAAACATCATGGTGTCAATTCCACTTTGAGGCTAGGAACCTGAAAGGGTGTCCCGAAGGAGGAGTGGGAACTAGCATCCGACAAAGTTTGGCTGGGAACCGCTCGTGGGGCATCAAGGTCACTATCTGACTCACCAGACACACGCGTAACTGTGTACCGCGAGATGTCTGTGACTGTGGCGCTGAGGCGTCCCTGCCGCGGGCTGGAAAAGTCAACCCGGCTCGCCATGAACAGCCCCCTACACTAGCCTAGGCAAGTGTTGGAGCCAAGAGCTGTGAGTCAGTAGCTTCGCATCTGGGAACAGCACTTCGCACAAACCAGCATACTGCAAATCTTGCACTGATCTGAGATGCGTACGATAGGAGGGGCATAACAGCCAATTTGCATTTCCGGCGACCACAGCATGATGACCTCCGTCGGCCTCTGGCCGATGTCGCTCCCATCGATGAATATCTTAGCAAGCAACACAAGTATCTAAAATAGAAATGCCAAGCTCTTGCCTCCATGTCATTGGTCCGCTAAGTCCGCGACTGTGAAGTGTTGACACTCCATGAATTCCAGTCGCGCACGCAAGACATAAGCCACCTGAGGTTCTGGAGCGGGACTTGGGACTGTTTGACTACAACTCAGAAAACAATCATGGCTTCTCAAGCGATCCTGTCCAAGACGCTGAAGCTTTGAATGCCAGCTGGGTTACCCGTAGGCCCACTGTCTTGCTGGTCTCCGCGATGGCTTTCGAGGCCCATCTGTCCTGCCAAGGCCGCATATCGTTGCGGGTTCAAGGTTATGAAGGTTTACGTTTAAGGAGCATCATTCTAGCCTGTGGGTGGTCAACCGGTCAATGCCCGATCCTTGCCGGTGTAGAGCCGGTCGGCTGCCAGTGCAGCCACACTGTTGATAGACAGCGTTGACAAGCGCCTTCTTTTGCTGCCCGAGTTGTGCAAAACATCAAAAGGCTTGATGGCAGCTGTCTCATTCTGCAGCATGGCCGGGATGACGACAGTGTCCAAGCTGTGAGCTACTTGCGTCAACAAGCCTCGAGCTTCCTTGGCCAAGAGGGCCTTGTTCTGCCGCAGCTCATCGTCCTTGTTGTTCTGGGGCAAAGGATCGAGTGACCACAAAATGAAATCTGCGATGCTGGGAGACTTGCGCGGTGAGGTAGGAAACGTTTTCTCAGGCTCCATGAAAGCCCCGTCCCAGTGCAAAGCTATGGCATCACTCATGTCTTGGTGCAAAAGCTCTGCCAGCATTCCTGTGCTCGGAACTGTGCCCTGCTTGGCGAACCGTTGTCCTGCGGGGGTGACTGCGCACCACCTGACAAGAAGACTGTCGTGGCACGCATGCTGTATCGTGGCCGCCAGAATCTCGGCAGCTGTGGTCTTTGATTCTGGAGAGCGTTTCGATGCAGTGAAGGCCCAGGTCAGAACAGAAATGAAAAGCGATGTCGGCAGCAGGTTCTGCATCGCACCATCGCCTAACAGATCCAGCCTGCGTAGCTTGGGCACTTCGGTGCCCGGCCACAAGGCTTCATGACAGTGCTGTATGTCACCCCAAACAAGCTGGACTTTCGATTTGCGCTTGCTTCTCTTCACTTTCGGGTACAGTGCTTCCAATACATCAGATAAGACCCATAACTTCTGTGCGTCAGTTGGGGTCGTGTAGACACCGAAGACGAATTTCTCAGCCAGCCGGAACTGTCCTCATATTTCACAGGATCTAATATGGGTTCAAGGGTTTGGGATATAGCGGAAGCTGCGTGTTATGTCTACTGACATCTTTGCTGCCTATGCCAAGCGGCGGCCATCCATGAGAGCGGGCGCGCTCCAACATGTGCGACTTCCCTTTTCCGAGTCAGCTACTTGCTCACGTTATGTTGCCACGTCGTCTTTGCACATGTGCATGTCTATGTCGTGAGTCTCTTGCTCTTGCTGCATATGCAGCCAGCTCGGCAGCGGGTCGGAACGCTCGATTCTGACAAACATGCCCCTTCCTTTCGGTTCTGTTTCCGAAACCTAAGCCCCGCAACGAACCTTATTGAAGGTTATTATGGCGCTAATAAACGATAAATAATCCTCGCGAAGCAGCGCTAAACAAATAAGGCCTTATTAGAGGATAATAAGGGTTATTAAAGTTTATTAAAGTTTATTAGAGGTTATTAGCCTTTAATATGGTCTTATTGAGGTCTTATTTGTTTGCCTACTTGGGGACCATGCTTCCAACAATCTGGGGGTTCATTTCTGGGGGGGTCCCCCTCGTTTCCTTTGAACACTTGCCAGCTGCAGCCAATCCGAGCTGGAGGGGTACTAGCACGCTGTGGCGGTTGGCTGTTAGCGCGTCGGTCGACATATCGGCCACTCCCAGATCGGAATCGTTCTGTCCCGCCACACAGAGTCAGCATCTAGGCGCTGTTGTGCTGCCGCTTGTCCTTGTATGCAAAGCGAGCGTTCAAGATACGGGTCTTCGTTGTCCAAGATGTTGGCTCTCGGTCAGACTCAGCGGTCGGACGGCATCTAAGGCGATGTGCTCCTCCCATTGACTCTCCGCTTCTCCTGGTCCGAGATGAGGTACCATGGCTGCGCCTGCGACACTTGGAACTGTGGGTCTAGCCGTGTCATCTTGGCAGAAAACACTGCCGGTTCTCCTCGATCTCGTCCTGGGAGGGGTGTCGTCGGGCACGCCGCGGTACGGTTACCTTGTCGACTCAGGTCTCGCAGCAGTTGCACTGCTTTGATCACCACGACCTCGGCGGAGCACTCGTACTCGCACCCCACGTAGCTGAAGCAGTCGTCTTTGCAATCGTCCACCGGGTTCCTTCAGCTGTTCCACAGACAACCGCAACGATTCCTCAGTAAGCAGCAGCAGGTCGTCGACGTGGGTGAGCAACAGCCCGCAAACCTTTCCAGACTTCACGCCGACCAATAAAAAGCAACACGAGTACCTCTTCGTTGAGCCCTTGCACGCGCATCTCCTTGAGGTCTTTGGAAAGGTCCACCTGGTGACGGACTGCAAGAGTCTCAACGACCACATCCATAGGGAGGGAACGCCAAAGGCGCCCACAGAGAAGCGCTTAGCATTGGATCTGACAAGCGTGCGGCCCTGTCTTGCGAAGTAAGACACCAGTGGAACCGACGCCACGGCCCTACTAAAGGATTTCGACACCGTGGTTGAGCATGGTTGGATGGAGTTCGCTTGCTTGCCGCCTAACTTGAGTTTTTGCTTGTTTGTTTTGCACAAGTGTTGACACCGAAGCAATCGCAGCAGGAGAAAGTGTTTCAAGCGCATGTTGCATGATTTGACTTCGCATGAATTTGTCTACATGATTTCATGAGTGACTGAAGTGCTCTGAAGTGCAGTGGTACGTTCAAGATGTGCCTGACTGCTCAAGTGAAGCCTTGAAGTTCGCCACTTAGAGTTTCGAGCTCAGCTTTGCTTCGCAGCCTTAGTGTTTGTGCAGGTCAAGCAGTAGAGAAAGCTTCCAGCTTGACAGAGAAAGGTTGTGACTGACCGCGAACTGTCTTGGCTCAAGGCGGAGTGAAAAGAAGTCCGAGTGTGTGCAGCGCTTTGCTTTCTGCTCGCTTTTGTGAGAGTGAAGTCCAGCTTGGTCGGCTAGAGTGACTGGGAACAAACTTCGTGAGTGCTTGGTGTTTGTGAACCCCAAGAGCTTGGTCGTGAAGGTTTCGAAGTTTTCCGTGGTAGCGGAGCGTGGCTCCAGCTGCGCTTCGGGATGAGGAGACCAGTTTCCTTACCTGCCGGTGGGGACGACTCTTCGTTGTCAAGTTTGGGTGGTGGAAGTCGAGGAAGAAACCGCAGTCCTCCTAGAAGGCCTGTTGACTTGCCGTTGCAGACGCGTGGTCGTTCACCTTCGAGGGCAAGAGCAGCCTCAAGAGCAGCTACGCCTTCCCGGGCGACTTCGAGAGTCAGTGCAGCAGCGCCAAGTGCTTTTGGTTCGCCTGCGAGTCCGCCACAGCAACAACAGACTGCAGCCACGAGTTCCGGAAGTGTGCCGCAAGCGCCTGCGCCAGCACCAGCTGTCGCTTCAACTTCGGCGCCTGTGAGCGGGGCTCTTCCTCCTGAAGCCGCGCTGAGTGTGATCCAGGCCCAGTCGAGCCAGATCCAGGCCCAGTCTGCCCAGATCTCTGAGCTGATGCAGATCGTGAAGGGGCTTGGAAGGCTTCAAGAGCAGACCTTATAGCTGCTAGCTCGAGCCCCAAGGCCGCTGAGCAAGCAGAGGAGAAAAGCAGTGACAGCGCCACTCCAATGGAGGTCGACAAGGACACCGGAGGAGTGAGACACAACAAAGCAGAAGCCTACTTGCCAAAGATTCCCATGTTGAACTTTGAGAAGATGGTTTCCCGTTCGTCGGAAATCAACTACTGGACTGAGTTTGTTGAGGGGATCAGTTCTTGGCTTGCGTTGCTTGACGACTTCTACCCTGTCGAGCTTTACCGGGCCAGCATCACCCACGAAGTGGTGAATCAGAACTCTTTGGAGAAAGGACCAGCTGCAAGGAGCGCGCGTTTTCACAACTTGTTGAAGCAGAGCTTGGGGACGTTCCAAAGGGGACTTGACGTTGTTCGCCAAGCTGAGCAGCAGCAACTTGGTGCTGCTTGCGGGTACGAGGCCTTTAGAAGGCTGAACCAGGAGTTTGGGATTCAGTCCCGAATGGAAGCAAGTGCAATCAGAGAAGCTGTCCTTGGTTACAGACCGGGGAAACATCTGCAGCGCCCATTGGACATTTACCGGGCGGTAGAAGCAGAGCTCTTGAGAACGGACAGGAACTTGACCTCCTATCCGTCGGTGCGCCTGTCGGAAGCTGAGAAGGTGATGCTTCACTTCAAGTGCATGCCAGAGAGTTGCAAGCACTACGTTCTTCTCCATGGCAAGAGCGACACTCTTGAGCAGGTCTTGGAGTCGATCAAGTTTTACGACTCCCACCTGAGGCTCATCAGCTATGATAAGGAGATGGGCAAGACCGCTTGGACTGAAGAGATGGTCGCTGCCTTCGAGAAGGGCAAGGGAAAGGGGAAGAAAGGAAAAGGCAAGGAGAAGGGAAAGGACAAAGGGAAAGACGCAAGCCCTGACAAAGACAAGGGCAAAGGAAAGGGAAAGAAAGGTGAAAAGGGACGCTCGCAGTCCGCCTCGCCTACCAAGGGGAAGTGCTTCAATTGCGGAGAGAAGGGGCATTTCGCCAGAGATTGCCCTAAGCCAAAGAAGAGCGACGACAAGGGAGCACCGAAGGCCGAGGCGAAGAGCGCAGCGAGTGCCACGCAAGTTTCGATGGTTTTGTTGGAGCTTGTTCCACCACAGAGTGTGCCGAAGCTTGTGCTTGGTCGAACCCAGAATTTTGAGCATGAGAGTCGATCCCTTTGCCTTGGAGGACGTGTTGAAGAGCATGGTCGGGAACCACGGCACGATCAAGGAGTTTTTCTTCAGCAGCATCATGGGCACGACTGTTTTCTTGAACCACGGCACGATCAGGGAGTTTTTCTACAACAGCATCATGGGCATGATTGTTTTCTTGAACCACGGCATGATCACGGAGTCTTTCGCCAACAGCAACACTTGCATGGTCGTTTTCTTGAACCACAACAACAACATGAAGTTGGTCGGTTGGCAGCTTTGCGTCGGCATGTGCAATTTGAGAACCAGCATGTCGGTGACGAGGGCGAGTTTGAGCATGGACAGTTGTTTCCACAGCATGTTGTCGACCAGGTTAGCATGATTGGGGCCTCCACGTTTTCCTTTGAAGACCAGCAGGATTGGTTGATAGACTCTGGGGCCTCAAGTCACTTGGTTGGTGAGGGCATGTTGTCCAGCGGCCATGTGCAGATCCTGGAGGAGCACGCTGTGAGTGTTCAGTGCAGTCTTGCGTCAGGTGAGCCGATCACTTTGCGTAGGAAAGTTGATTTAAAGGTTTTCTTCGTGACAGTCGAGGGAAGCCTAGTGAGTGCACGCCTCTCCGCTCTTGTTGCTGCTGATTGCTCGCATGCCATCTTGTCCACAGGCCAAATGGCCCAACGTGGGTGGCAAGTTGCTATAAATGCTGAGGGTGTCAACGTGAACCTAGATACTAGTGACGGCAGGCATGTTGTGCTAGGGACTTGCATCTACGGTAACGTCGGTTGGTGCTACTCGGTGCCCTGTGAGCCTCGACATGGACGTGGACTGGGGAGGAGCTTCCAACGACGAGCTGGAGGCGACCCCGGAGAGCCAGGCGGGCGTGACCCCGCAGGGCCTGGCACAGAGCCAGGCGGGCGTGACCCCGCAGGGCCCAGCACAGACTCTGCTGAGCAGTTTCGCGGGGCAGCTGACGGAGATCGTGAACAGGACCTGGAGTGTTGTGACCTCGCGGTCGACGAGCAGCGATTCAGATTCTCCACAGAAGCCGTCAGAGAGCCCAGCGGACCACAGGGAGACGCCACAGCCGACGGATCAGAAGGAGACGCCGCAGCCGGAGACCGGGACCCCCTGGATAGCGAAGGAGACGGCCGATGTGGCCGAGGAGATCGAAGGGCCCACCGAGTCCCTCACTGCGGAGAAGCCACCAGAGGTCCGAGTCCCCAAGAGCAAGCCGCGTCCAAAGCCAGTTGTGGTGGCGTATCCGACAAGGTCAGTGACGGGAGCGGGCCAGGAGGTGTCCCAGACGGGGGCCACAAGCTCAAGGGAGCCAGCCGAGATGAAGGAGACCGAGGGTTGGGGCCTTCACGGTCTTCCTCTGCCACGGCCCCCACCAAGGGTGATCCTCCGCGAGCGCCTCGTGAACTTGAATGTGCCGCCGGAGGTGCCTTGCCAGGCGGAGATGAGTCAGGGCAGCCGCCCAGGCCCGAGGTTGCCGACACCGCCGCGGGTTCCGAAGCGGAGATCGAGGTCGCCGTTGGGGAGAAGCCGTCACCGTTGAGTGTAGGTTCCCGGGACGTTTTGGATGATGGAAAAAGTGGGCCGAGCGATTGCTGGTGGGTTGCCACCGACAAGGAAGCGCTAGGTAACTTCAGCATGTTCGAGCATGATTTGCGGTCGCATTTGCCCTTTAGCAGTTCCTGTGAAGTTTGCTTGAGAGCGCGAGGGTTGAAGCCAGCCTTACGGAGGAGCCAGGTGCACGAGCACGAGATTCAACTCGACCAGTTTTGGCATGGCTCTTTGCGTTTTCTCATCATGGTGCACTCTAGGTCTTTTGCCATTGGCTGTGTGAGCGGTGATCTGACCAGAGAGTTGATTGTTGCAGGCATGTCACAGTGGATGATGCATTTTGGGCTTGCCAATAAAAGTTGCTTGTTCACCTGCGATGCTGAAGGGTATATGAGAGTTTTGTGGCAAACCATGTTGGAGAGTTTTCCTGTGTACCAAGGAACCATTGAACAGTTTGCCGCAGGTCGTCATGCGCCAGTTGCAGAGCGTGCTGTGAGGGCTTTGCGAGAGACCGTCAGTGGTGTTTTGATTCAGATGCAGGACAAAGGCGTGGGTTTGAGGAACAATCGGAAAGCCTTCAACTTTGTGTTTCAGCATGGTTGCCATTGCCACAACAGGTACAACTTGTTGTCTGGATCAGCCTTGACCCCTCTACAAAGGCTGAGAGGGAACCAGCACAAGCCTCACCAGGCCTATGTGTTCGGTAGTACCATTCTACTCTCGGGCCCACCTAGCAAAGCCGCTTCTCTGCCGGGGCGATACACCTATGGAGCCTACCTGGGGCCTGTCTTAGGAAAGGCCTCCCATTGGGCCACCATGCAAGTTCCACACAGTCTCGCTCCGAGATAGTGGATTCTCTTGAGCCCGGACGAAGGCCCTCGCGTGGGCCGCCTTGGACCGATTTTGAAAAATAAAAGGTTGCTTTACTTCTTGCGTTTTCTTCAGTGGCTTTTTCCTTGAGACAACAACGCGACAGAGCATCCCTCTTTTGTCTTGCAGTGCATGAATCACACTCATGCTGTTCGCAGTGCGGATGCTCAAGCTGAGCAAAATTTTTGAGAAGGCTCCTCTAAGATCCCGGTAAAGTGCTGTCTACGAGGTTCCGGGTGCTAAATCCAAGGCTTCATAGTTCCTCGCGGCCTGGGCGGGCGCGCTGCATGGTGCCAAGGACAGAGCTTGAAGAGTTCAGTCTTTAGACTGCAGGCTCAGTTCCTGCTTTTGCAACAGCGCATCACTTGGCTTGAAGGGGCGCCGGAGAGCACTGCCGCTCCCCCCTTTCCTTCATACCTTAGACTAGGATGGAATCCCAGACAAGTGCCGCCGCACCTGCCTCGGCAAAGGCTGCAAATGTTCAAGGTGGGGCTGGTGAGTTCACTTTCCCGCCTTTGCCGCCTCTAGTGGTCAGAGACTTCACAGGTGAGGTGCCATTACCACAGGATTTCCCAGGCTTTGGCGAATCGTCGGACGGCAGCTTCAGTCGAGTTAGCCTAGGTTGCGAGCGTGTCGGGAACGACCTACACCTCACTCAGCTTGAATTCCCGGAAGACTGGGAAGAGGACCCGTCACAGGTCCCCGATGCTTGGACGCCTCCTGGTGTGGAGACCTTGGAGCGAGCCGATAGGGATGTGGCCGGTCTGATGCGAGACATTTTCGGAAGCGACGATTCTCATGTAGGGCACATGGAATCGGGGACAGCCTCGAATGCACCCCGACAGCAGTCGGTTTCTTCGGTCCCTGTTCTTGACCAAGCTGCGTCGTTGGCCCATGCAGATGCCTCTGCTGAAGGGCTTAGCTTGGAAGCCCCCGGGGCATTCGCTTCGACCGCGGGTGTCGTAGATGATGCTTTGGGTTCCTTTGTAGGAGGGCTTGTTAAGCAGGATGTTGCTAGATTCGGCAAACTTGATGACGGTCTTAGGCTTCCGTGGGAGAGTGAGTTCTCCAAGCTGCTTTTCGACCCAGACTGTGTGTGGGACCCTTTGCAAGGTCGCAAGCAGGGGTCGATCTTCCCGCCGATCACACACAATGCCCAGGCAGCCCGCAAACCTGAAGCCGGGTCCAAGGATGCTCCGTCGGGTTCGATTTTCGCCTGGGCCATTGCGTTGGGTTCTGCAGCTCGCGATCCCGCCGCGGAGCGAGAGCGTAAGAGGGAGCAAGGTATCGGCATGTGGAGTAGACTTGTGCTGAGGTACTCTGAGTGCTGCTCTCTTTTCGAGTGTGTCTGTCAGGGAATGAGAAACAGAGAAGCGGGCTACGAGGACGTTGTACTGGCTGTTTCAGCTGCTGTGGGAGTGAAATCACCGCACACCATACACAAACGAGCTGCATCCTTTTGGACCTTCGTTCGATGGCTAGATGTCCACGAGCCCTTAGCCCCGAGCGGGCTGCATGAGGTGCAGGTGTGGAATTTTGTGCAATTCCTCAAGGAAACTTCTGCGCCGGCCTCCAAGGCTGCTTCTGTCCTGAGTGCTTTCAGGTTTGCTCACTTTGTGCTGGGGTTCCGTTTGTCGGGCATAGTTGATTCTAGGAGGATTGCCGGAGCCACTGAGCAGCAGCTTGTGAACGTGCGCAAACTCCGCCAGGCTAAAGATCTTACGGTCTCGCAGGTACTCGAGTTGCACGCAAGGTTGGAGTCGGGAGCCTTGCACTGCTTTGACCGCGTACTCCTCGCTTCTCTGCTGATTAGGCTGTATGCTAGGGCTCGCCCGAGCGATTTCCTTTTCGTTGAGTCGGTCGAGGTTGACTGCCCGCCTGGAGCCGACTACCCGTTGTTAGTGTTCGAAGTTTCCCAGCACAAGGGGGCCAGGAAGGTGCAGCTTAAGACCAAGCTGCTGCCGATCCTAGTTCCCATGATCGGGGTCCACGGAAAGTGCTGGATTGATGAAGCCTTGAGTGCTTTCCGGAAGGCGGGGAGAAGCTTGACTTCGGTTCGGGGTCCTCTGACCTTGGCGCCTGCCGATGAATCAGGGGTCGTCTCTTCGAGGAGGTCCATCGCTTCCTCCGAAGTGGGCAAGATGTTGCGAGCTTTCCTAGGTTTGCCTGAGGAGGTCACCGATCCTTCGGCCCCCAGGGTCACTGCATACTCGTTGCGAGGCACTTGCTTGGGATGGGGAGGTAAGTTCGGGTTTGACGAGGACCTGAAAAGCATCTTGGGGAGACATGCGTCCTCGGTCAAGACTACGCAAGCCATCTACAGCAGAGAACTGTCAGCTGCACCGGTCAGACGGCTTCAGGACATGATCAGAGAAGTTGCAGCCGGAAACTTCTTCCCTGATAACAGTCGCTCGAGTTACTTCCCGAGGCGAGCAGTTGGTAACGAGGAGGTCACGATCCGGGGCTCCGACAAAGGATCAGAGAAGCTCAATCCAGTCAAGGTTGAGGTGGTCAGCAGTGACGAGTCCGAGGCAGGGAACTCTGTTTCCTCGGACAATGAGTGCAGCGATTCCTCTCAGTCATCGCAGTCTTCCTCCTCGTCGTCTGCGAGCGAGGCGGTTCAGCCTGCTGTTCGTAGGTGGAAGCGAGCTAAAGTCGAGGAGCCAGACCAGGTGTGGTATGTGAACACTTCGAGTGGGGTCTTGCATCTGCTTGCCAGCCCCGATGATGTTCCGATGCTGCTCGCATGTGGGCGACCCGTAAGTGGGAACTATCGTGAAGCGACGAGGATCGAAGTCAGTCGTGGCAAAGAGTGCCGGACCTGCCGGCGCAATGTGTGAGGCCCGCGCAGAGCGCGCTTTTGGGCGAACGATGAATGTATCGTGTGCTGGGAAGAAAGCGGTGAGCGAAGTGCTCGTAGCGACGTGCTGTGTGAGCGTGTGGATGTGAACACATGACATGTGAGTTTTGAGCTACTTGCTTGAGTGAATTCGAGTGTGTTCGTCTTCAGAATGTGGGCTCAACATGACGTCCCTTGTAGAGAGTACGCATCACTTCAAGTCGCGATGTACCGAGGTTGGCCTCAGTCGCGAAAGCCTCAGGGCGCTCGCGGACCATGGGATCGATACTTTGAGCAAGCTGGCTTATTCCTGTGGCCAGCCGGGCACGCCGCTGCCTCAATCTGAGTTCGATGATTTCATTTCCACGGTCATGCCAGCGGCACTCTTGGGTGAGAAAGGAAGCGTGAAGCGGCTTCTCTTCGAGAGTCAAGCACTCCTGCTTAATGATCTCAGGGAACAGGTGACCCAGCCCGATAAGTGGTCTACGCGAGACGTTCCGACGGTCGAACGTCAGAAGAGGATGGAGGCCGTGCGAGCCAGCATACCGGGTGTTGTGCTTGAGGGGTCCCTGGAGCCCTCCCATGGTCTCTTGAATGCAGCTTGTCGAATGGAAAGAGAGGGGCAGCTTCGCTACATAGCCCCCGAGCAGTGCGGCACTCGCATGTATGAGATCCAGAATGTTAAGGCCCAGAGTAAAACCCTGTCATTGGAGGAGGGCAAGTTGGCGATTTCTGAGGAGAAAGGGTTGCCAGAAGTAGCCTGCGGGTCAGCCTTGTTATTGCAAGAGGCTTTGAAACGCCGAGGTGTGGCTCTCCAGTTCGCCGGTGTAGCCAGTTACGTGGCACATGAAAGGTATGTCCTCAAACTCTTTGGGCATATGGGGCGAGAGCCCCCGCCAGGCTATGCAAGGACTAGTGTACACCAACTCCTTACGGCAGATAGGCAGGTCTGGACGCGAATGATCGAAAACGAAATCAGTCCGAAAAGGAGTGCAGATGGGACATACCCTGTTGATCGGGCTCTGCTCTCCACACTTGAGACCTTTGACGTAACTGTAGCCCTCCTTCCGCGAAAGTCCGAGGAAAGCAAGAAGAGGGTCGCCACGCCGCACAAGCCCGGGGTTGAGCGAGACACTAAAATTACGAAGCCCCCCAAGGGCAAAGGTAAAGGCAAGAAGGGCACATGGCAGCCCAGTGTGCCGGAAGCCATCCGTAAACTGGGTGGAGTTGCAGAGACTCCCGACAAGAAGCGCATTTGCTTCTCCAGGAATCTGCCGTGCGGCTGCACTCAGGATCCGTGCCCTAAGGGCTTGCATGTTTGTGCATTGTGTTTTGCGCCTGACCATGGTATTCAGGAGTGTCCAAAGAGAAAGAAGTGACTGCAAACAGGTGCTCCGAACAGTTTTGTGTCGACCGATGACAGTGAGGCCGCTGTTACACCAGTCGCATCGACCTCCGCTGGAGGTCATGATTCACCGATGCCAGATTCCATTCAGCTTGATTCGCCGGGGACAATATCCGTTGAGCCGGTGCACCCAGCTGAACAGTTTTGTTCACAGCTTCGGGAAGGTAAGCTTGCCGATGTTTTGCAATTGATCACTATGCTTGAGAGCGAGACCCCGGCGAGGGGACAAGAAGCGCCAAACACTTTCTCCTGGACTTCGGGAGCATATGCCAAAGGACCGCTCAAAGGCGTCAGGAAACACACCTCTGTTTTCCCAGCTTGTACGCGCTTGTTGTGTAAGCTTGTGCTGCAAACTTTCCCAAACGCCGACTTCACTTCTGTTGCGATTTTTAAGAACCTTCAGACTGCGTTGCATGTCGATGTAAATAACGAGATGGGGTCGCAAAATTACTTGATCCCGATTACCGCTTTCCAAGGTGGAGAGGTCTGGCAAAAAGGGCCCGGCAACGACGTCGTGCAGGACGAGCTAGGGTTTAGCCTCTCTGGGTCCTTAGTTCGGGTTGCCGATGGGCCGTGTACCCTAAACCCCCGTGAAACCCACTGCACCATGCCTTGGTCTGGCGACCGGGTGCTGCTGGTCGCCTTCAAACCTAATCACGCTGCAAGCTTGTCTTCGGAGTACCGCCAACGCCTGCTGGAAGCAGGGTTTCCAGAAAGTGCATTCCGTTCCAGGTCGTGCTCTCAGGGCAGCGACTCGACTCGCCCACGGGTTGTGCTCCCAGACCACTTTGTTGAAATGCCTACACGGCCCAGCGACGGTTCTGCTTGCACCTCCGACGCCGTCCCTAATCCTGCAACTTGGTGCGATCCCTTAGTCATTGAATTGTTTTCGGGGTCCGGCCGGGTAACTGCCTGTCTTAAACAGTTGGGGCTATCAGCCGTCGGAGTAGATGCTGACAACCGCAGGTCCATCTCAACATGCCTACAGGCCGATCTGGCCACGCCCAAAGGACAGGACTTGTGCATGGAGTGGATATGATATCGTCACCTAGGTTAGCCGGCCTTTTTGTGACTCCGCCTGCTCACTTGGGCAGTGCTTTGGACCAATTCTTGGCAGCAGCCTTGTTACATGTCCTCGGCCGAGGGGCGGTCTGTGTTTTGGCCCAGTCGGGCGATGGGCCGTTCTGGACGTCCGACTGCTGGAGCAAGGTCTCTTCGCATTTTACTTTTGTGTCGTGCCACGACTGCGCATACGAAGGAAACCACCTGAGCACTACCATCTTTGCTGTCACCGATCGCTCATTTTCGAAGCTTGCTCGATTTTGCTCGGGCAACTCGTGCCGCCAGGACCGTCTGCCTGAGTCCAAATTGCATGGCGCCCATCCGGTGCGTCTTGCCATGCAGATAGCTTGCTGTTTTGCTCAACACTTCGTGCAAAAGGGCTGGCAATCGCCCCCGCAAACTTTTGATGCTTTTGATCCTCGCTTGGAAGTTCCTATGTCTCGTGCTTTGGCTGGTGCCCAACCTCGGGCCAGCAAGATACCGCCACTAGTTAGTGAGCATCAGCGGGTCCTAGTCTTGCAGCACCCTCCGGGGCTCGTGCTGCCGTGTCAGCCGATGCAACGACTCCGAAACCCGTGGCCCGTGCCGCCACAGTGTGGTGCCACCCTGGCACACATCCCGGCAAAAGCTCAGCTGCTCCGGCACGTGCCAATAGTGCAAGCTGGGGGTAAAGAACTGGTGAAAGTTGATTCTTGGGAGATGGCTTGGGGGTTACCCTGGGAGCCTGAGGAGTTCATGCAGAAGGCGTCCGAATCATGTCACCCAAGGTCGATGGGCTCGGTGCTCCCGGCCCCCTTGAATGATACTCTTGAATCCTTGGATAAGTTGGGAGACGCCGAAGTTTCCGCTTTGAGGGCTAGGGTAATCAAGGAGTGGTTGCACTTGGCGACTTCGTTGTCCTCCAATGAGGCGGAGCTGAAGGCCAGCATGCACCCCGATGTCCGTGAGATTACAGCATCCAAACGCATCCTCTTGTGGGAAGCTTTGCTTAAGAAATACGATTACCCAGACCAGTGTGTGTCGAGCCTTCTCAAGGAAGGCGTCCCGTTGGTGGGGCATGCGCCCATTTCGGGAGTCTTTAAACCAAAGTTCAAGCCCATGCAAGCCACGCCGAAGCAAGTTAGGGAGGATTCAAAAGTTTTTCGGGAAAAGGTTAAAAATTCCCTTAAGCCCCAGGACCCCGCCTTAGCAGCAGAAGTTTGCTCCAAGACCGATAAGGAGCGCGAAGCAGGTTGGATCGTTGGTCCCTTGTGCGAGTCCAGCTTGTGTGATGGGATCTTGGTTAGCCGTCGGTTCGGAATCCAGCAAGGCCAGAAGGTAAGGTGCATCGACAATTTGACTTCTTCGGGGGTGAACCTTGCGGTGCAGGCCTATGAGGCTCCGCAGCCTCAGTCTACAGACGTGGTTGCATCCACCTGTCTTCGACTGCTGAAATCCATCAAAAAGAGAGCAGGCAAGGTCTTGTTCAAAATCTTGGGCAAGGCGTTTGATCTCACTGCAGCTTACCGGCAGATGCCAGTCCACCCAGACACAGCCTGGGCAGCGTACGTTTGCTTCGTGCATCCAGACACGAACGAGCGAGTGTACTTTCGGATGAAGGCCATGCCATTTGGATCGGCAATGGCAGTCTACGCTTTCCTTAGGATTAGTCATTCCTTGTGGTTTCTCGGTGCAAAGGCATTGCTTTTGCCTTGGTCGTCGTTTTTCGATGACTTTGTCACTTTTGCGACGACGGGGTGCTCTGCGTCGGCAGAGGCGGCAGTAACGTCAATGTTCAAACTCCTAGGTTGGGCGTTCGCCGAGTCCGGCGAAAAGGCAAATGACTTTTCCGAGTGCTTCCAGGCGCTTGGAATCATGGTGGACCTTCGTGCATGCCTTGATGGCACCATAAGCTTCAAGAACACTGCAAAGCGGGTCTCCGAGATCAGGGCGTTCGTGGGCAAGGTGCTTGAGTCAGGTAGGTTGCCACATCACGAGGCTCTAAGGCTCAGGGGTAGGTGCCAGTTCGCCGATTCGCAAATCTTCGGTCGTACTGGGAAGAAGTGCTTGGGCCTGATCACTGCTCATGCTTACGGCTTTGACGATGTAATCAGTCGCGAACTCAGGGCATCGCTCGAGAAGTTCCTGCTCAGGCTCGAGGTCGGGGCCCCGCGCTTGATCAAGATCCTTGAGGGCGGATCATGGCATGTGTACACAGATGCTTCGTATGAGCCAGGGGCAGGGCATAGTTTCTGCGGCCTAGGAGGGGTGCTGGTTGATCCTACTGGTGTTCCACGAAAATTCTTTTCACTTGTTTTGAGCGATGCACAGAAAAACTTTCTTGGCGAGCAGAATTCTGCACAGATCATCTTCCAGGCTGAAATGCTAGCAATGGCAGTGGCACTGGACGTATGGTTGCAGGACTTGATGGGGCACACGGCAATCTTCTTTGTGGACAATAACGGTGTGCGTGACGCAGCTATCTCTGCGAATGCCAGAGCTTCAGTCGCGAGACGGTTGTTGGAGGCGTTTCTGCAGAAGGAACATAACTCCTCAATCATTCCGTGGTTCGCAAGGGTACCATCCCCATCGAACCCTGCAGACGAACCTTCAAGGGTTGAGCTTGACAGCTTGAGCTTGCTGGGGGTTCAACTCCTTCGTTCGAATGTGACTCAAAGAGTCGACTCTTGCTTGAAGGATGTTCAGGGACTTAGGTAATAGGATTAAGTTGGGGGTGAATGCTAGCAGGGCCCCTCGCTGAGGGCTGCAACTCCCTGCGGACATTTAGGCTTAGCAAAATGCCAAAATGGGCATACGAACTTGGTGCCGACCGGCACTCCAGCAGTTGTTATCCCCAACGTCGCCGATGGAAAAAATACAGTCGTCTGTGCGAGCATCGTGTGCCACTTCAGTCTTGCTGTGCAACTTAGGCGAAGTTCTTTGTGCGAAACCTTTCCAACTCAGTGCAACTTTTACTCAGGAAACTTTTTTGGTAAGTGCAGCTGTTTGGTCCAAGTCGTTCGGCTCAAGAGAACCACACAGTCTCGCTCCGAGATAGTGGATTCTCTTGAGCCCGGACGAAGGCCCTCGCGTGGGCCGCCTTGGACCGATTTTGAAAAATAAAAGGTTGCTTTACTTCTTGCGTTTTCTTCAGTGGCCTTTTCCTTGAGACAACAACGCGACAGAGCATCCCTCTTTTGTCTTGCAGTGCATGAATCACACTCATGCTGTTCGCAGTGCGGATGCTCAAGCTGAGCAAAATTTTTGACCCACCCGCCCACCCTGGCAAGGGGGTGAATGCTAGCAGGGCCCCTCGCTGAGGGCTGCAACTCCCTGCGGACATTTAGGCTTAGCAAAATGCCAAAATGGGCATACGAACTTGGTGCCGACCGGCACTCCAGCAGTTGTTATCCCCAACGTCGCCGATGGAAAAAATACAGTCGTCTGTGCGAGCATCGTGTGCCACTTCAGTCTTGCTGTGCAACTTAGGCGAAGTTCTTTGTGCGAAACCTTTCCAACTCAGTGCAACTTTTACTCAGGAAACTTTTTTGGTAAGTGCAGCTGTTTGGTCCAAGTCGTTCGGCTCAAGAGAAAAGCCTGGAACCGTCGAGGTGGTGCAGACGCCAGCTGTGAAAGCCCTGTTGCCAACGAGGTACGATCTTGAGTTGCTTGGCATGCTTGCGAAGAGAGTTGGTAGCATGGTGCATCGGTTGCCTAAGCTGCCAGATCTTGAGCATGTTGATGATGAGTTGACCGTGTTGCCGTTGAGCTTGACTGAGGATGGCAATCCCCCCAAAGAGTGGTTGCTTGAGCATGGTCGCACGCGTCGTTGCCGAGCTTGTGAGCGTGGGTTGTTTCATGGCGTGAAGCATTCTGTGACTTGCAGGAAGCGCTATCGTGCATGGGTTGAGGAGATGAAGGAAGGAAGCCCAGAGCCTCTGGCGAGACAAGGAGGAGAGTCTGTTGAGGATATCGTTCCGGATCCCGTTGGAGTTGATGATGATGATCCCGTGGTCGAGGTCGAACTTCCCGATGATTATGATGAGGTGACCGTTGCTGAACCTTGGTTGCCCACAGTTGAAGAGTACTTGCCAGAAACCGAGGCACAAGGACCCGAGGAGAGCGAGGACCAGGCAGAGGGCCGAGGCAACGACCCACACGGAGCCGGGGGCATTGGTGATGTGTCAGACCTCGGTGATGTGCCAATGGATGTGGATGCTTGTTGGTCGGTGCCGTCCTATGATGCCTTGGATTGTATTCCACTTGAGGTTGCTGAGGACTTTGCCGTTGGAGTGCAGTGCAGAGTGAGCGTGTTTTCGAGCATTGAGGATGACGGTTGGTCGGAACTTAGAATGGGAGATAGGCTCGTGTACTTGCAGAGGCCGAGTTTTGTACGCGACGACGCCACCGACAAACCCCTCGAACCGGGAAAGGCAGCTGAAGGGATGCGAAAGGAAATTCGTGCCCTCGATACGCTTAAGGTCGGGGATGTGATCTCAAAGTCCGAAGCCGATTCCTACTGCAAAGAACACAGCATCAGAATCCTTTCAATTAGGTGGGTTTCTGTTGGGAAGAAAGACGGAGAGACCAAAGAGGACATTGTTCGGGCGAGGGTTGTTGCCAGGGACTACGCAAGTGGCGGGCCCACCGCAGCAGAGTTGGGAATCAGCAGCCCAACATCGTCGAACGAAGCTTTCAGGTCGTTCTTGGTGTTTGTTTCGGCCACCGACTCAGACATTGTCCTTGCCGACGTCAGTACAGCGTTCCTCTTTGCATTGATCGTCTCCCCTGAGTGTGTCATGCTGCCTCCGAACGTCCGTTTCGCTGACAACTCACGTGTTTTCATGAAGTTGCGTAAAGCGCTCTACGGTCTTCGGTCGGCGTCTTTGGCATGGTATAAGCATCTGAGTGAGCTTGTGAAAGAAATGGGCCTCCATGCTTCTGATACTGAAAAGAGCGTCTTCTCAGGAGAGTACGAGTTTGAAGGAAAGAAGTTTTGGATGCTTCTGCTTGCCTACGTGGGTGATTTGATGATTGCTTGCAAAAGTCGTGACGCAGCGCTGAATTTGATCGAGCGCCTGGGGCGTTCGGTGAAGATCAAGGTCACTGGGATCCTGTCTCGCGACAAGAAGATCGACTTCTTGGGGAGAGTGATCCAGAAGATTGAATGGGGGCTCATGTTGGGGCTTCCAGAGGGCTACTTCACTTCGGTGTATGAGTCCTACGGCATCAAACGGGGGAGCCCAACGCCACCAGATCTTCGAAAAATATTGGATAATTCCCTGGAGAACCCCGATCTCCAGAAACCGTTGTCCACGGAAGCGGCGACGAAATACCGCTCAGCAGTGGGCAAGATCAGTTGGGCGGGGCAAACGAGAATAGATTTGACCTACTTCATCAGCGTTCTGAGTCGAGGGCAATCAACACCTTTGGTTGTACATGAAACCTGCCTTCGGGCTTTCCTTAGGTATCTCATTTCGGTGGATCACCTCAAACAACTCATGAGTGCCGAGGAGTGTTCTGGAAGGGTCGAAGCTTACGTCGATTCGAACTGGGCCCCCGAACGGAATAACGATCGGAGGTCCCTGTCGGGATGTGTTATCCTCGTCGATGGCTTCCCCATCAAGGCATTTACCCGGACACAGACCAGCGTGGCTATGTCGAGCGCAGAAGCCGAGTTGGTTGCAATCACCGAGGGAGCCAAGGAGGCTGTAGGAGTTGTTGCTTTGATTCAGCACATCTGGGGAGTGTTTCGCACCTGTCAGGAGCCACCCGCGATCTATTCAGACTCGCAAGCCGCCATCAACATTGGATCCATGCATGGTTTGCTTCGTCGAGTCAGACACATTGATCTTCGGGTGTGTTGGACGCAGGCTGCGATTCAGGATGAGTTGATTACGTTGTCCTGGGTTCCGGGAGCCCAGAACCCAGCTGATGTCTTCACGATGGCTTTGTCGAAGCCTCAGATCCACCACGAGAGACTTGGGATTGTTGAGCAAGCCCCGCGGCAGTCTCTGTTGTTGGAGGACCTTGATTTTGATCGGTTCGTCTTGTGCAGCATTCTTGGAAGAGTTTAGGCTGAGTCCGTGCTTGAGCGATTCTGTCGCGAGCTTGACGAGGTGAGTGTTGAGAAGAACCGTTGGGTTGTAGTTGAGTTCTGTACCGCGGTGAATTCCGGCATGAAGGTTGCTGCCGAGGCCTTCAAGAACTTGAGGGTTGTTTCTGTCACCGAGGACGAGAACGGACTGAGCGATGAGACCATCGCCGTACTGAGGTGCTTCATTGTGCGCATGGTTGATCATGGTGTGCGCGTGCTTGTGTGGAGTTCAACTCCCTGCACTGGGGGCTGCCTTTACCAGAACCTCCACAAGGGACGCCAAGGACACGAGGCCAGAATCCGAAAGCTTTGGGGAATCCAGAGGAAGCTCTGGAAGAACCTGAACATCCTCATTGCTCCGGTTGAGTCTGTTGCGCTTGAGTTGCAGCCCTACTTTGCGGTTGAGTGGCCTAAGACCTGCCAGTACTGGAACTGGAAGGACGTGAAGAAGACCCTCAACAGCCGCCAGCGTGAGGTGTCCAGCAGCTTGGTTGACGGTTGTGCCGTTGGCATGGTTGGATCAGACGGGCATCTCGTCCACAAGCGTTGGAGGATTGACTGTGACTACAAGCCGCTTGCGTTGCGCCTCGATACTATCCGTTGTACCCAGGATCATGTGCATTCTGAGTCTTTTGACTTGCGTCAGACGCAGCACTATCCGTTGGACATGTGCCGCATTGTGTTGCGATCCTTGAAATGAGCCCAAAACCGCCAGGACCTCAGTTCTTTGTTTCAACTGCAGCCGCAGCCGCGAGGCCACTACCTCTCGAAGAGTTTTGGCCAGAGTTTTTCTCACCTTTTGCGCTTTTCCAATGGACGAGCTCCTTTGGCTTCTTGTTGCCGTGATGGCAGCCTCCGCTGCGGTTTCGAGCTACCTTACTTGGTTGGTCACTTTGTGCGTGGTTGTACCGAGACGGACAGCCAAAGCAAGGGTGCCAGTGGTTGCCGAAGACAGTGAGTCAGAGGGAGAACTTCCCACTGAGCTACCGACCTCACCGCCTTCTACCACTTTGAGCGTTGAAAGCAAGTTTTACGTCTCTTCAGCTGGCAAGACCTTACACCTCTTTCCCAGCTGCCCGGGGCGTAATGCCCGTTTGAAGACGTATCGTGTGTGCATCAATTGCATCAATCGCCTGACGGCATCCTCGACCACTACTACCAAGCAAACTCCAAGAGGGGGTAAAGGATTTCGACACCGTGGTTGAGCATGGTTGGATGGAGTTCGCTTGCTTGCCGCCTAACTTGAGTTTTTGCTTGTTTGTTTTGCACAAGTGTTGACACCGAAGCAATCGCAGCAGGAGAAAGTGTTTCAAGCGCATGTTGCATGATTTGACTTCGCATGAATTTGTTTTCATGATTTCATGAGTGACTGAAGTGCTCTGAAGTGCAGTGGTACGTTCAAGATGTGCCTGACTGCTCAAGTGAAGCCTTGAAGTTCGCCACTTAGAGTTTCGAGCTCAGCTTTGCTTCGCAGCCTTAGTGTTTGTGCAGGTCAAGCAGTAGAGAAAGCTTCCAGCTTGACAGAGAAAGGTTGTGACTGACCGCGAACTGTCTTGGCTCAAGGCGGAGTGAAAAGAAGTCCGAGTGTGTGCAGCGCTTTGCTTTCTGCTCGCTTTTGTGAGAGTGAAGTCCAGCTTGGTCGGCTAGAGTGACTGGGAACAAACTTCGTGAGTGCTTGGTGTTTGTGAACCCCAAGAGCTTGGTCGTGAAGGTTTCGAAGTTTTCCGCCTACAGGAGAGCCGTCGCCAGAGAAGCCTACTCGGCCACTTCTTCACTGGGTCCCAACTCACGAGCAACTTGCTGATGTCCTCACTAAGAAAATGAGCTCCGAAGGCTTTTGGGATTCGGTCGAGAGGGGGCACATTTCTCTCTCCCTTCTGAGACGATAAAGAAGGAAGGAGAGTTTTGATAGCAGTGTCAGTGTACGGCACGTGTGTGCTTGCGACTTGCCACGGCATGTCGATCGACGCTAGAAGCAAAAAGGCGCGGTGCCGCCGCAGTGTAGCCGCATGTTGCGCGCTCAGTTTTGACTGCCAAACATGTATGATGCACACCATTGCGCGATCCAAGGTTCACGGAGAGCGAGAAAATCGTTCCAACCAATTTGTGCTGACTTTGCTGGCCAGGTTTCTTGTTATTGATCTGTTGCAGCTTCTTACTAGAACCGAGCGCAGCAGTCCATCACTCTTTGCACTTTGCAACTGCATCTTTGCCTTGCATTCTTTTCTTTCATCTCTACATTTGTTTGTTGCATTGCACTCCATTGATTCTGTGAGGGCAGAGCCTTGTTGGTGCACAGCCACGCATTTTGCAGGGCCTCATGATGATGGGTGTGTCCTTCATTGCAGTTTTGACAATGTCCACATGCGCGCAAAATGGGTGGTGCCAGCATGCTGTACTTTGCTCGTTTCGCACAATATGTCAATGCATGCAGCCATTCCACTTGCTGTGATGCAGTGCTGCAGCAGTAGTCTGGGCCATGTGCTTTGCGATGGAACCAAACCGAGCGAGCAGAACGATCTCTGCTGGCAAAGCCCGCACGTCGCAGCTTGTTTCACCGCTTTGCTTTCTTATTCTTGCTAGTTAGGCTTCTTGCAGGGACCGAGTGCTGCTGCCGCAGTCATTGAGGCCCACGCCAAAAAGGGGATTCGGATAAGACTTCAAACTCCAGCCTGGAGCTGCGACCTCAATACGTGAAATCCGGGTGTTGGTGTCAACCCGAACGGTGCAAACAATCAGCAAGAGGTCAACCTTCACCCCGAATGCGGCAGCTGGAATCATGAAGAAAACACACGAACTCGTTTTGTGAAGGAGAGATGAAAGCGGTTGAATTCAGGTATGAGAAGTAGAACAACAAGAAATGAAAACGGAAGAAGCCGCCTTAAGGTGAAGAATTTGCAGGGGCTCTGGAATGACACCAAGCGGCGAAAGAAAAAAACAGAAAGAGACGAGGCTCTGCGAGAGAAACGAGAGAGGCCGGGATTTGACTGGAGGAAAGGAAGGAAGAGACGTGGCGTAAAGTAAAGAAAGCTTCGATCGTCTGTGGTTTCCGGGTGTAAAAAAACAGAAAACAACATAATACGGGCCCATGTTTTTGCACATTGCCAGAAAGTACTATAAAAAACACAACAAGCTCCTAGCTTTTCAAGCTGCAGCATTTCCAAAACGCTAAAACTGAAATACCGGCAGAAGCATCGATGTTCGTTACCACGATGCTTCACTCGATTGCGACGTGGTCCCATTGCACCTTGTTCGACCGTGTCCGGATGCCTATTGCACCGTAGGATGGTTGGCTTCTGGCAATACCAAACGTTTTATCCTGCGTGGTTATCTGCTCATAATACTCCACGGGAGGCAGGTTAAAAGTTAGGTTAAACATTGTTACAACCTTCCACGCTCGAAGTTACAAACGCATAGGCCATGGATTCATTGGTGTTTTGTTTGAATTTTTTACATTTTAGTTTTGTTTCGTGTGGCTTCTTCTTTTGTGTTTGTGATTGCGTTTTGTTTCATTAATTAATTGTTCTTTTCTCATTTTATTTCTTCGCAAAAGCCCACCATAAAGCGATTTGGTGTGGCTTCTTCTTCTTTTGTGTTCGTGATTGCGTTTTGTTTGAGTTTCGCAAAAGCCCCATAAAACGATTTCGTGTGGCTTGTTCTGGCCAGGGCAGAGGACTTCGAGGCTCGCAGAGAGACTGAGCGAGGAGACGCTCATTCGCTCCGCGGCGGCCGCAGCATAGTAGGGGCGCCACCTACAATTGAAAGTCCCCGTGGCGGCGGTGATGCCGACACGATTTGGTCTGCGGCTGCGTTTAAACAGAGCTCGGAGGTTGGTTAGGGCAACCAAAAATGGAAGGGTTTGACTTAGAATAGCTGCGTAGCTTATTTATTTACCCTCGGATTTCTGTCTTGCGTGCGTTGGTCTGAAGAATCGCTACATTGATCTCGGCGTCTGTTCGACCCTTGGGGTTCTTGCGATTGAGCCGGGCACCTTTAAAGTAGTTCCGAGGGTCACCCGTTTGGAAATGTCATGACACGTCGGCAAACAGTTCCTGAGAATCCGTCGACAACTCCTGAAATTTCCGCAACACCCTTGTTGGCCTCACGCACAGCCACCGGGCACGCTCCGCGGTCCAGCGGTTTAACCCTCGGCCAGTGGGGAGGACGCATCCACAGAATTCGGATGACGACGCCCCCAAGACCACTTGCCTGCTGAGGGGCCATTAACATAGCTGCCCCAAGCTTCGTTTCAGAATTTGCAGCGTGCCTTCTGCTACCATCCGTTCCTAGCCATACAGTTGCCGCCACCTTGCTTACCGTCGCAAGCAGATCGCAGGGGGAGGTTTGTTTTTCGATGTCGAGGCCATTGTGCAATCCACTTGCAAGCTTGCGGTTTGAGTTGTGCGTTTGTACGAAGACTGTGCCTGGAGGCCTGGAGTATGTCGAGCGTCTTTTCGGAAGCTTGAACGGCTCAAGCCGGATCGATTAGCATAATTGTGTTCTTCCTGCCATTTCAGAAATGGGCAGCGGAAGTTCAGCGCAGCAGACCAAGATGAAGGACGCGACTACTGCGGAGGCCAACTTGGACGAATGGTCGCCGAGAGCATAATGTGTTTTTGCGCGTCTTCTCTTGCCAGGGGTGCACCATAGCTTCGGAACCGTCGAAGGAAACATCTGGAGTTGGAATTTCCTTCGTTGAAAGCATCTGTCTTCCCATCGTCTTGGCAGGAAGACAAGGAGAAGATCGTGGCCGCCCCGGCCAAGCTGGACGAGGTGGGTAGCAGACGTCGAAAAGCTCCGCTTGAGAATATCGGATTTGTTTGCAGACTTTGGTTATTGGCGCGAGAAGCCCGGCGAAGGACACTCATGACCTCGAGACAGATGATGCAGGTGCCGGGCGCACGCAGGCACAAAGTATTGCAAAGCCCACACTACCAAAGAAGTGGTGGAGCGCGCAAAGGGTACCTTCGAGCCATTCTTGCGATTCGCATGTTGCAGGCCGGCAAGGTGGAGAAGGATTCGCACCTGATGATCAAGGGTCGTCCGTGCAAGTGCCAGTGCCGCAAGCGTTCTCAGAAAATCCTAAAAGACAGCCTTGAAAGAGCCCTCTTGGCCAAGGTGCGTCGAGGTCTCCACCTCCGGGGAAGGAGAGGCCCTGATCGTGGCCATTGACATCCTCACAGGCCTTCACGACCATCTTGAACGTCCTTGAACAAGCTCCGAGGTTTCGTTGTCCTGCCGGCTTGTGATGCGTCTGCCGAGGCAAGAAAATGGAACATGTCTGCCCCGCCTCTGACAAGTTGGAGGTGCTGAGGGCTGATGCGAAGTTTACCGAGTACGAGGTGCTGAGGGCTGATGCCGACACAGGACGGCCACAATCCGTTTTCTGCGAACACTTTTGTGATGTTTGGCTGCCAGGAGAACTAAGCCTTATGAAGGAGATGTTCAGCAGCAAGGAACCGTCCTGCTGAGTTTGCCTGGTGAGCTTCAGTTTACCCGCTGCAAGGACGATGTCAAGCTACCCACGGAGACTTGGCAACATCCAGAAAAGCACGACGCAGCACTTGAAAGTCATTCCAGTGTTTATTGGGGTTTAGGAACCAGCACCCCAATACACCTTGAAACTTGAAAAAGTCCTTCATGTTATGCTTTAGGCTATATTCCTTGATCAGGGGGTACTTGGCTCTCTGGGTACTCGGACATGCAAACATATTTCTACAACACACAGCCCAACTCCACATGAGTACGTTTCGACTACTCCTTCTCCCGAACGCTGTGGAGTATCAGCCTTCGTATTCTAGTATATTGTAGTTCGGTATGCTTGCTTTGTCAAGTTATCATTCATCGTGGAACTTGCAGCTGGTGGGTGTGCTCTCGGTTCCGCGGATATTATTTGGCATGCATGCAGACCTTGCGTTTTAGAACAGCTGCCTGGTGAACATACGTTTAGGCTTTTTGTTGTCTGCATTGTCGGGCCTGGTGCCTGTGTTTCCCTTAAGGGATCTGCAGCCAAGCCATTTCTGAAGTACAGATGGGATGTGGCAACCGCTGCGCACCTCATCCAACCAACACGGCTGTCCCGGCGAGTAGCCGGCACCCGAGGACGCTTAGGCTTACACCAATCAGCGGTCCATCTACTATTTCGACCGACATCCTCCCGCTGGTTGTCGAAGCAGCTGAGGACAAGAAGATGAAGGCGGAAATCTGTGACGAGTTTGTGAAAGGCATCGCCGGTTCGGATGGCTTTGGGTTTAGCATATGAGCAAGCGGACACGACTCTTTTCAGGAGAAAAGTCGATCTACGTGACTGTGCAAGCCGCTTGCGGAGAAGAGAAGATCGTCGGCGTCAGGTGCGTCAGATAAGGTGCCAGCACGCCAGCCTTCCGTGGTGTGAGTGCACTTTGAGTGTACCGTCAGGCCATGGCCGGAGAGCTTTTGAGTTGGTGCCCGAATTTTGCAGTACATTGCCTTGCACAACGAACCCTGTGAAGCATCCGAAACCATCATAAACAGCGCGCGGACAGTTTTCTGCTTCACATGGACGGCTGGATGACCTTCTCCATCGCGTGGGATGGACAGACGTGTTTATGCTGGAGTCAGCACCATGGAAAGAGACTGGGGTTGCATGAAAGCGACCCGAATCCTGTGAGGATACCCAGAAACACGGCCCGAAGATCTAGGATTGCTTGATTCAGTGGTGCTGAACAAGTGTAAACAAGTGTTCAACAAGTGTAAAACAAGTTTAAAACAAGTGTAAGTGGTAGTGGTTTCCTCAAAAAGAGGGCAGAGCAAAGCTCAACCGCCGAGGCGACAGGACTCAGGACTCAGCCCCATGCAAGGTCTGTGCTGATAAGAGACGCTGGGGAGATTGTAGGCCGAATAGGGACTAGGCTGAGCTTCATCCGGTCGCCCAAGATCGAGCTTGTGATTGTGCATGTGTTTCAACGCTGGGTAATCTATCTTGGGCCGCTTGGGTCCATTCTTGCAGTGTTAACGACAGCCGGGGCTTTCAGCCACGAGATATGCAGTAGATTCCAACTTTGTGTAAAACACCTGCAGCGATCCTGGCTGATGGACGCCTGGTCACGTCAGGCCGTGCTCGCAGTAGTGACGACGGCAGGCGAGATGTACAGCAGATTCCAATTCCGTTTTTTTCGTTTGCGTTTGCTACAATCATCGTTGATTGATCTGTTGTCACATGAGGTGATGCCGACTTTGGCGGCGACAGCTTTGCAGTAAATTGGCCGAGGCCAGGGGAATTAATTACTTTAGTATATATTTTGTTTGGAGCCACCCTTGAGACTTGTCATTTTTGTCATTTCGAGAAGCTCTGCGGTAAGGCTCCAAACTGCCGCGAACCGTGTCCGCTTCAAGGCCTTACCGCAGAACTTCTCGAAATGACAAGAATGACAAAAATGGCAAGCTCCGGGCCGGCCCCAAAAACATAAGTACTTAATTAATTAATTGGCTCCTCGGGGTAGAGTCCAAAGCTGTCACGGCGTCGCCGTGGGCCCGGGATTGAAATCTCTAAGCTGCCTGACCGCTAAAGGTTCCGCCCGGCGAGTGAGTCGCGCTTTAGGCTCCGCGGAGCCGCGGGGCACCGGAAGCGCGTGCTTCATCAAAGTTTCCGAGCCGTCCGTGGCCCGCACTGTCATCGAATCGTAGGACTCCACGTCCTTGGCGCGGCCGTACTGGGACTGGAACCGGGACAGCCGGCTTTTAGTGCACATGCGTTGATCATGTTTGCCCTTTCGGCGAGGGGGCTGAGCCGTGCGGCGGTCAACCGAACGTGGTGAAAGTAAACTATCAACCTTTCCTTTATAACCCGGAATTCTGGAAAGACGCACCGTTTTCAGATAATTGCTATCTAGGTTGAAGCGTTATTCCCCACCTTTTCGGCTGCTCTCCACCGCCGCCGCCTCCTCCGCCTCCTGCCCCTCCTCCTCCTCCTTCTTCGCCGCCGCCACGATCACACGGAACCGCCACACCATGATGAGGCCGCCACGTGGCGCCGAGCAACAGCAACATACTTAGCAACACATCACGCGGTACCGCTGCACCACCACACGAAAATAAACAATACTAAACAACGCAAGTTTAGCAACGCATGTTTCCAGCACCACACGTAATCGACAGCGCATGAAAGAGTCTTCGCTTTTGTTGTCGCCCGACGGGTCTAGCGTTTGGGCTGTGTGCTTTGGAGCTTCCCGGCTTTTCGCGTCAGAATCAGTTTTGACGTCGCCTGATCTCGATGGGTCTGGCACGAGGGTCCCCACTTTTGGCCTGGCGTAAGGGCTTGGTAAGCCTCATTGCACATGTGCCATGGAAGATCGAATGGGTAGATTCCATTTTCACAGCAACGAGGCACCGAAAACCTGTAAGGCAGCAACCTATTCTGCGTGTTGTCCTGGTGCAAGTTCCGAGTAAAGATCCTTCGTGACACGGCATTTGAACACTACGTGGCTAGATGGACATATGAATAGTGGAACATCAGCAAGCTTTTCAGCTTATGTCCGCCGATGTAGCGCATTCTGCTGCATGCCACTTGGAATGATCAAGCAGCTTCTAGAGACGCGGCATGTTGTGTGAGTGACACTTACGATTCTTCTGCCAAGGCTGGTGGGATGATCCAGACCACGCAGTCCTTCGAAGCTCGTGGTCCAGAAAACCGCGTGATTGATGTCGCTAGGGCCTTGTCCACAGCCGTAAGGTGCGCGGGATAACCGTGATTCTTTGCAAATTGGTGTGGGCTTGGTCAAAAGCATCAGTGCTCCTCTTGGTTTTGGCCATGTTGGCCACGTGCCCAGGTGTTGCGCGATGCATTGGAGAAGCTTCGGAACACGGCCCCGAAAAAACTCAAGGACGTGTGCGTGAGAAGCTTGAACCTCATGTGTCGCTCTGCCGAGCCTCCGGTACGTTACGTCGGCGACAGTGTCCCTAGTGCGAGAGGAGCTGCGGGATGTTGTGGAAGCCGACTTGAAAACGTGCTGCACCCGGAGTTGCAGTCAAACTCTGCGAGTCGGAGAGGAACTGGGGTGATGTCAGACCAGCCAGCTGTTGTGAGTTATGTCAGGTTGGAGAATCTGCCCGCCTCGGGGGCGAATGTTTCCGCGAATGACTTCTTTCAGTCGTTCAAGCTCGGCTGTGAAGCTGCAGGTGCATTCGTATCGGAGTTTCTCTTGAACATCGATGTTTCGATGACTGCATGCGAGGTCTGCCGAAGTTGGTGGTCATTGCTTTGGAGGCATGCCATTCGCAGTGCAGCATTGCAGCGCTGTCGACAAACAGTTGTCTGCAACTCCGCACGTCTTCAAGTTTCAGGTGCATTGCTTGGATGCATGTGCTTAGCCTCGTGTATTGGATGTGTGTCTCAAGCAACACTAGCACATTCACTTATCACGTCTATTGCCATCAACAGGCCATCCAAAAGCAAATCACCTACGGCTTCCTCACTGGCAGAGGCAGCTTTTGAGAGAGACTTCCTTGTAGAGTGGGCTTGCTTGCAAGTTTCGCAAGGTCCAGACCCATTCAAGCCAGAGAACGGGCGGCGTCTCATCGCGACAAGCTAAGTGCTTCCTTTCATGCTCGCGGTTGCGACATGCTAGTGCTGCTAGTGCTACTGTGCCGACAAGCACCAGCTAAGGATGCTGTGGTGGATTCCGTCTGCAACTGTGCAGAGTCTGCTGATGACACAGTTCGCACCTCTGCAGCCTGCAGCATATCCTGCCAGTGACTGCGTGCCTTGTCGTTTCGTTTAGAACTCGATGAGGTGCAGATGCACATGATCAGCACGCTGCTTGCTGCTGTAACCTCGCAGGTCTGCGAGGCCTTGAAAGCAGCGCATGATTTGTTTTGCCGCGTATGTTTCGTATGTAATGTGGCCAGCACACTTCGCTTTGAACTGAATCCTTTAAACTTGGCTGTCACAGCACGAAGTCGATGCAGTGCCAATGCCATAGTGTAATCTGATTGCTGCAGCTGATGAGTTCCACACCGACACTCGGGGCAAGTTGAAGCCTAGACTGCCAAATGCCAAGCTAGCGGCAGGCAAGGTCCTTATGTAGGAGGTGAGGAAAGGCTGAGACCTGCCGTAGATGGTTTCACACAAGCACGATTTCCGCTCACGACGATCAGTCGCCGGCTGATTCAACGACTTCGTTGCTCGCTCAGGTCCACGGCCAGAGTCTGATGTTGGCAGTGGATACGTGCATGAAGCTGTACCGGGACCAGGGTTGAAGAAGATCATCGTCATAGGTCACGGCTTGCGGTCTGCTGTTACCGGTTACAGGATCTGAACTCGTTGTGAACCGCAAACAGCTGTTCCTCAGAAGGTAGGGCCGCAGGACTCGAAAAGCCAGTCCAACCAGCGCATGGCACAAACTGCCTTGACTCAGATGCTTTCAGCGGCGTGCTCAGGTGTTGATCTCACCAGTTGAGGTAAAACCGGAAGATGCACACGAGGTCATCACCCAGCGCTTGGAGCTGAGCTCTGCCGACATGCTCGGCGCCCGGTGCTGGCGCTGGCGCTGGCGTGAACTCGGCCTGTGGTTTCCACTGCACCGAGTTGTAGGTCGAGCCGAGCGGAGGAGGTCCTGGGCTCGCGGCGGCTTGGCGGCAAAGATCGGCAAAGCTCAAAGGCGAATCCGAAGCCAGCAGCCGATGTTCGAGGTCTGGCGGCGCTTCCGGCGCTGCGAGCTCGGAGCAGCTGGCGGCGGTGGTAGCTGCGGCCCCACCGGCCTTCGCCCGGAGCCTTCGCGTGTGTCCAGAGATGATGCGTGGCCTTCAGCGTGGCATTCTGTAGGCCAATGCCAATGCAGACCTGGCACAGATGCCCAAAGGCTTGGCTATTGCTCAAATTGTTCGAAGGAGAGCATTGCTGACTGCACTCAGGGCAGCTGCTGAACGAGTGGATGTCATCTTACCTGTCTGCAAAGATTGACACCTTGGTGCATGTCTCAGCAGATGTCTCTTTCACTATCTTCTGCATGCTCTTCAGTTGCAAAGCGCTTCTGCAGGCATGGAACCATGAAAAAGAGAACGGCCAGAAGGGTGAGGCCTGGCATCCTTCTCCATGTCTACTTGACGCGCAGGGTGAATCTGCGCAGACGCCTCTGGGAGGACCCCCCTCCTGGCAAGTTCGGATGGTGTGTTTCCTGACTAGCAGTTATGCCGTTATGCAGGCTTTTCTGCAGACATGTCATATGTCAATAGTTTTCGCTTGTGCTGGCACAGGTTGTTTGCAGAAATACTGCCAACCACTATTGCGTCGACACGAGGGACTCGGTTTGCGGGCCAGCCTCTTCCACACATGTCGCTTTGATCACAAGCTAGCCTTGAAGTTGGTTGTGTCTTGCAGGCATGCGTGCAAATACCGCAACCTGGAGCGTCTGTCGCTGGTGGAGAAATATTATGGTGCAAAGCGAGAGGAGGCAGGGCATTCAGGCAGCAGCTTCACATGCCATATTGCTCGTAGCAACTAGCAGGCCTCCTCTCCAGCAGCGTCTCCATCGGAGACTTGGACTAGCAAAGACGAGTGGCTTTCGTAGCATCGATCTATCCCTTGCTTTTCGGAAAGCCCCTGTTGAGGTGTCCAGCAACGCTCCCGCTGTACCTTCGCAGTCCTCCAGGGACACCTTCGCGAACAGGGACGAAGCAGCGGCCTATCGCTAGAACTCTTACAGCTCGAGCAGCCGTGAACGAACAATCGAGGCGTCTTCTGCAATCGCAGATGTTTCCAGTGCCAAGTCCATGAATGTTTACCATCAGGACAGCTGCCCACACAGCCGGCGTAGCTGAGTGTGCAGTGTCTCAGATGCCCAGAAGGACTCTGTCATCATTCTGACGTACCTGATCAACAGCAGTGCCAAGGAGCGATTTTTTCTCCGGCCATCACAGAAATCAGAAACTCCAGTGCATGTTCTAAACCCCGCGATCCGATACTGATCAGAGCTTGTTGGGGGCCTTGGGCCTGGCCCTGAGGAGTCGGTGCAGAGCCAGGCCGACTCCAGAGCTATCAGGACGCTGTCCCGAGAACGAAGGGTCAAGGGTCTAAGTGTCCCTTTCGGTCTCTCCAACGGCCCTGGGCCTGACTTCCTGGCGCAGGAACAAGCGTATTGCCCTGGAGCTCATCTTGGGTGTCCTCTCAAATGCAGGACCCGTTTTCAGGCAAGCCGCTGTATGGGGGGCCGGGGCGCAAATGGAGGGACCACACTAGACAGAGCTTTAAGCGCGGGGCACCTGCGGATTCGTGGAATGGCGGCGACTCATGCAAGGTCATCCAAGCATTTCGTTGACATCCTCAAGAAGCTCGTAGGCGTCTTCCGGCTCAAGTTGCCCGAGTGTGCGGCTATGCTAGACAGAGGTGTGTGGTTGCCAAGGACTCCTTGATCAAGAACAGTGTTTCACCGATCCCCAAGATCTTTGGGCTCTCTTTGCAAATTTTCGTTCCCGCCTTGGCCAGTCGTTGAAAAGCTAAGTGGCAAACGCCCGGCTCAGATGGCACAGGTGTCACTGATAACGAATTTCAAGGAGCATTTGAGGGACGAAATCGGTGTGGCTGCCTCAGACATTGAAGTGGCCCCGTCTGCGGGTCTTGCACTGTACTGGTCACAAGGTGTTCATCGAGCAGATTTTCCTGAAGATCCTCGAAAGCGGGAACTCTGACTTCCTTCACAAGAGCAGGGTGGGCAGCTTATCGGCCAGCCATTGGGAGCTCTGGTTCCAGTCACTGGGAGCTCTCTGTTCGGGTGATTTAGGTGCTGCAAATCTTCTACAAACTCTGTACAGATGCGCCCAAGTCCCAGCACTTCTTTGAAGTGTCGTTTCTGCATGGCTGCCGGCTTGTCAGGACCACGCCGCTCGAACTGTTCCTGAACTACGACTGCGATGTAGACGAGAAGAACATCTTTGACTTTTGACCAAACTCCACGATGTGATTTTCATGAGACTGATTGGAGCCTTGGCCACTTCGGTGCATTCAGGAGCGGACAATCGATTGTTTGTCCAAGATCGCTCAGGGGAAGTACACTGCTGCGCCAAGCCAAGTGTTGCGTTCGAAGGAGCAGACGATGCAGCATGTTTCTCAACGGTTCAGGTTGAACATGCCAACCTCATCCAGCCACATCAGGCCAGCTGAAAGCTCCTCCAAGGATCTTAGAGCCCGTGTCGTATGGCAGGAGCAGGAGCTGAAACAGTTGGCCTTGCAATCTCTGGTCCGGGGCCCCTGAAAATACACACGTCTGCGAGCAGAGCCCTCCCAAGCTGAGGTCACCCTCATGGGTTCCATCGTCGACTGGGCCGGGATCTCTTGGAGCTCGAGGTTGCTTTCTCCGCTGCTTTAGCTGCGAAGATCCCTCCCGCAGGCTCGAAGAATGGCCGAGGCCCGGCCTTCGACACTGCATATATATATATATATATATTATATACCCGTTCTGTATATATATATATATATATATATATATATATATATATATATATATATATATATATATATATATATATATTATATTATATATACACATTTAAGTACATACTCATTCATGCATAAGAATATTAATCTACTGTATAATAATTTATTGAATATGGTACAATTGAGCTATATATACTAAAGACTACATATATAACTTATATAGCATCACGGAACCAGATCTCCACTCTCGGACCCAGGATCAGAAGATTCCCATCCTTGGCCAGGGCAGCGAGGATGCCAAGGCGACGTTTCAGGCTCAAGGCCTCAGGTTCCCAGGCTTCTGTAACCTTGGTTTGGTGTTTCGGGTTTATGCATGCGGTCTCTCGGACAGTCTCGAAGCAATCACGAAGGAGACTAGACTACAGAATCATTACGAATTGGAGTCCATCAGCGGTGTTCCGGGTTTAGGGCTCAGGCTTTAGGCTTAGGGTTTGGCATGTGGGGTTTAGGGTTTAGTTCTTAGCCCCACCAAAGCCAATTCCACCCAGCTACCCGTACCTGAAGTTTTTATGGGCAGGCGAAAGATGGACCCGAGAGCGACGGGGAGGACCGCGGATTTTAGAGCGTTTGTGATTGGAGTGCGATTCTGGACGCTTTCTTTGCTCGTGCCCAGGACGATGCGAGTGATGTCGTTCCTTCTCTGACAACAAGTGCATCTCAGTATTCTCAGTCTTCTGTGGTCCCGGCATGTCACGACAATTGTTCCCTTCACACTTACAGCGCTAGTTGCAGCCAGGGTGCCCAAACGAGCAGCTTCAAAGAGCAAAAGCAGAGAAAGCTCGACCTGCAAATAGGCATCAACAAGTCCGAGCCTCAAGGCTCCGCATCTTGGGGGATTTTGGCCTTTATGCACGGAGTGATGTGAGGTTTAACATGAAGCCAAAGCGTGGCATCGAGTACTTGAAGAAGAATGGCTTTGCGTGCAACTCAGCATCGAAGGGTCCGCACTCGAGCTGGCCAGTACTACCGTTACTACCTCCCGTGGCCAGTTGACCGATGACCCGGCTTCACTGGCTGCGCTCTTCAAGAACACAGAGCTTGGTTGGGCGCCTAATGGGGCCCACCGCTGCGTCGCAGCCTGCTTGAGGGCATTTGTTGCATTGGGCTAACCTGGCCACAGCGCAATGCCCGATCCAGGCCTGGACAAGACGGCCATCGGTGACTATTTGGGCGAGGCCAGTGTTTGGGCTATGGTTTGTGCAGCGAGCATACCGGCGTAACGTAGTTCGAAGACCACTTGTTGGGGCACACAAGGACAAGCCATTCAACAAAAGCGCGCTCTTTGCGCTTGTAGACGGCTTGGACTTCAAGGCTCAGGCCCGCTGCCCGCTGCCCCTTCTTGTGGAAACCTCGGGCAACTGGATGAGCCCGGCATCCGCCAGTCCCTGGACGGATCATTGAGACACTTCCTCTCGTACTTCCGACTCCCGGGAGAGGCCCGGGCCTTTGCCGCCTTTGCCCTCCAAGCAAAGCGCGATCGGAGAGGCCCAGAAAATCGATCGGATGATGGAGAAGTTCGCAGAGAAGTATTGCAGCGACAACCCTGAGCGGTTTGCCAATGCGGACTGTGCGTTCGTTCCTTTGTCTGCACTTTGACACAAGATTCACAAGACCTTGGATCGATCTAGGGCTGAGCATTGCAAGGTGCTGTCGTTCTCGTTGATCATGCTGCAGACCGACCTCCACAATCCAGGCTGGAAAGGATCCCATGACAGTTCAGGAACTTCCTCTCGGAAACCCCTGCTGTGTTGAACAGATTTCGGCCACGCTTTTGGGCCTCTGCAGGCATCAAGAACAAGATGACCAAGGATGAGTTTGTGAAGAACAACCGAGGCATCAACGACCATCAGGACAGCAGCCCTCTCAGTGAATTCGTGCATCGAAGCCGGTGCTGCTTCAGGACCTCCCACGAGAATATCTTGAGGGACTCTATGATGGCACTTGGACGGCAAGTAGCTGTGCGGACTTCTGACACAGGTTCCACTGTAGTCTCGAATGATTGCATCCAGAGGCGTTCTTCACAACCCGATTTCATTGCAAGAGGACCAAGAGGCTCACCGGCCAACTTGCAATGCCATACATCCATTGCCCCTCGTGTCTGTGAGGCCAGAAATCGACAAGAGTCACAGGCAGCTAGAGACTCGAACCAGAAGCCAGGGTCCTATTCTTCCCTGGAAGATGAGCACTTAGGGCCGCCGCACGTCAGAATCTCGACGCTCAGCATGTTCAGTTCCATTCTCTTTGAGGTACGAGCTTTTCGTCAAAGAGACGGAAAGCATGGTACAAAAGACGAAGGCTGACAAAAAGTGTGCATTAAAGTCAGGTCGTTGAAACACAGAAGAGGAGCATGAGCTGAGCTCCGCCTCTGAGGCAGCGATGCAGATGCGAAGGAAGAGCTCCGCCTACGTGGTCGCTCAAAGCTCTTGCCTCGGACGCCGCGGAGCGCAGAGCTCCAGAGCGAGCGCTTCTTCTGCTCGAGCTTCTGTGCATCAGGCGTTGAGCACGTGAAGCCCCTCTTCGAGGTGCTTTGGCTTTCGAGTGCATCTTCTTGATTTTTTGAGTGTCAGAGGGTGGTCTCTGTCTCCGCTGCGAAGTCGTCCTCTCGTGCCACAGGTGGCCTGCTGGCCATACCTGGCGACGCTGGCGGTGCTGCTGGAGATGGAGGTGCACTCGCTGTCATGTAATGTCCGGGCTGTGCTTGTCGCTGACCTCCAGTTTTGTCATTCGATGGAAAAGTGCCATTTGACAGCAGCATATATATATATATATATATGTATAGAGTGAGCCCACGGTCGAAAACATTCTCGAAAGGCATCGGCAGTAGCAGGTACTAAGGCGAGTGTACGGCATTTGTTCGGCAAGCAAGCATTCGTTCACCGTCCCTTCGCCTCCATGAACGCGTTTTGGACCTGGCTTCTGGTGACGGGCGCCGGCTCTTCGGAAGTCTCTGTTAATTTCTCTGAAGTGATCCGGACTTCGCGTACTTTGACCACACTCCAGGTGGAGTAGTATTTCAGTTTCTTTAGAAGCTTCAGATGTTAGAAGTCCGGTAGAATAGACCACTGCCCTGCCCTGCAGGTGGTCTCTAACCCCATCTTGGACCGCACTTTCGTTGCGCCTAACGGCACGAGCTTCGCGAATCCGATTCACGATGCTGCCTGGGCCTCCTTGAAGGCTTTGCAGGCCGACTTGGTGCGCTTCGTACCTTGGTTTCCTTATCCCAAGAAGAGTGTGGCAGAGCTGGATGCCCCCACTCAGAGCAAAACATCCTGGGACTTCACGAACATCATGCCGCAGCTGGAGGACTTTATGGATGCGGTCTATGGGCAGAATCATACTGTGGTTCTCAATTTTGCAACGCAGCCCTGCTGGCTTTTCGGGGATGCCAAGAATCAAACGCAGAATTGTTCGTACCCATCAAACCCGGACGAGTCCTTCTTCGGGTATGTGCGTGGCGACAGACGGAATCTCCTGGATCCGAGTGGCAAGACCATGGCTGCATACTTCGGACGACTTTTATCATATCTTGTGAAAGGTGAGTTCGTAGACGAGAATGGGATCACGCACACGGGAGGGCCTGGCTACACTCGCTTCAACCGCCAAAACGGCCATGTCTGGGAGTTGTTCAACGAGGGTGAGCATGGTTACACCGCCTCTGAATATATTCATGACTATGACGTGATCGTGCCTGAGATGATCAAAGCCGTCGGTGGCTTGAACCATGCCCCGGCCTTCATGGGGATCGGTGGAGTCTCCAATCCCACGGATTGGATCCCGCCTTTCTTGAACCGTAGCAACCACAGCTCACCTGTACCTCCGATTGACTACATCTCAGTGCACCACTATGCAGGATGCGCTAATCGTACAGATCCTTCTACCTATTCCTCAGGCTTCTTTGGTGATTTCGCAGCATGGATGAAGACTTTCAAAGAGACCGTCTTGGCAATGCGTGATTCGTCGTCGTTCCCTGCTGTCAAGATTGATTTGGACGAGCTCGGAGTCATCATGCCGGGCGACAACGATCCATCCCGGGGCCTCGATGCGGACCTTCCTGACATCTACTGGAACGCCGCGGGGGCCGCCTACGCCTACGTCTTTGCAACCCTGGCTCCCCTGGGTGTGGAAGTGCTGGGTCAATCACAGCTGGCAGGAAGCCCGAAGATCCCGGAGTGGGGGATTCCCCTCCCGCAGTATCCCAGTGTCAGCTTGTTAGACTGGCGAACAGGTTTGGGCAATGCTCGATACTGGGTTCTGAAGCTCCTGATCGAAGAGTTTGCACCCGGAGATCTGCTGGTGTCGACGCATTGCCAGTCCTCTGACGATGCTCCGGGGCCGTTGAGTTGCATGGGAGCCGTTGCGAAGGATGGATCCCACAAGCTTCTGATCGTGAACCACTTGAATGCTCTTCAGACGGTGAGGCTGAGCGGCTTCACAGCCGGCAGTCTGGCATTGAGAGTTGTTGATCCCAAGTCTGTACAGAGGGCAAGTTCCGACGGCATCCGTAATTCTACCACGGATGCCAGTCAGCCATTTAATTTAGATGCCTTCGCGGTGGTGGTTGCATCTCGTGGCCCCTCTGTATCGGCAGTCTTTGTGTAGTGAGCTTAGCTTTCCTCCTCCCAAATTTTGAGTAGTTTTGTCTCATGGAGGAGGTATGAACCGAAGAACAGACGCTTCTCTCGGTTTTGCATGCCGAACTTCAGCGAAGCAGATGGGCATTCTTCGGCCAGGGCACACCCCAGAGCATCGAGCTCTGCATTGAGGGCTTCAAGCACTGCATTAGGTGGGGCCACGGCTTCGCTGTAGATCGAGCTTTGTGGGGCGGGGTACTGGGCTGCTCTGCCTCAGGATCGCTGCACGCTTCGACATGGACACGGAGCGCGATGCTTTTGTTTCGTCCTTGGCCAAGTTCACCTACCTGACGACGATCAAGGCGGGAAAGTCGTGATTCCAAGACATGAAGGGTTCTTCTACATGCAGCTGCTTGCAGGAGATGAAGCAGAAGAACATCGAGTGCATCAAGGCGAGGCCGTAAACCCTTTTGAAAGAGAGGTTTGGAGCCACCGCTGTTTGGCCGAGCTCCCGTCCTGGAGGCCTTGCTTTCCATCGGACTCTCTGAGGGAAACAACCTGGGACCCTCCTGGCTCTATGCAGGAATCTTAGAGAGAAGACGATCGCAACGTGAGTCGAAGGAGGTCTTTCCAAAGCTGCCAGGTCTTGCACTGCATCTCCCAGCTGGAGCGGCTCCAACTGATCGGCACCCGTGGTGCCAGGTGCGCGAAACTTCTCAGCGCATCTTGGGAGCCGCTCCGGAAAGTGGCTTTGAAGGCAGGACTTCCAGTTCTTCCAGTTGGAAGAGGAGGTTCGGATCATTAACGCCAAGCTGCTCTTGTACCGAACATCACGTGTGTTTTTGCAGCATCGTCACGACCAGGCGCTCTCGCCCGGATCTGCGAGCAGGAGGGTTGTTGCCATCGACACGAGGTGGCTTTACAGCTGATCTGAGCTTCAGGACCAATGCCAGCATTGCCGGGCAACAGGCTTGCCCAGAGGAAGTATTGGAACAGACGAGCCTCAGCGTTATCATGTCTCTTCATATTGCAGGTTGTCAAACGTCGTGCACATGGTTTGGGGGTGTCAGTGCCCAAGCATCATTCCATGATGTGAGAGATGAGATGTCCAGCCGTGCTGAGCGATTTTTGTAGAAAATCTCTGTCACAGGTCCGCCTTGGTTGCCATTGGCCAGGACGATCGCAACGTCGAGCTGGCCCGGGACCCAAACCGGACTGAAGGACTGCAGCGTTTGGGGCTCCCAAAGCGGTGAGTTTTCGGAGGTGAACTCGGAGTCCATCGCTTCGCAGATTGACGCTTCTCAGATTGAGTTGCTCTTCAACAAGCGCAGACCTGAGCAGCGTGGAAGCGCCCCAAGTTCGTGTCGGGCTGTCGAGCTGGAGTGGGGAGGTCCACGCAGCTGTCTCCACCCGCCGTGGTCCACTTCGTGACTCAGTTGGCGAAGGCGGAAGTCTGAGTGCTGCCGGGCCGTGCTCTCTGCCCCCCAAGAAGAAGAAGTGAAGCGCTTCTTCTTGAGGTCTCCAAGGAAGAGCTGGCCCTGGCCGACCAGCCCCGCATCTTCTCTTTACAGAAGCTGGTGGAGGCACCGCGGGATTCGAGGGCTCCTGTGGACATGCAAAAAACCTAGGAGTGCTGTGGCGCTAGCGCCGCTGCGAGTTGGGGTCAGGTGGCCGACTTCAACATGGGGAGGATGCGAGTTGTTTGGGGCCGGATATGGCGTGTCCTGAGCAGCCATTTTGTGGATGCCTCTTGGATGCACCTCTATTCCTATCTGCTATCTGTGTTCCATGCGTTCCATCGTTGCTGCTTGCTGAGGTGGCTGCTCATCAGAATGTGCGGGTGTGCCACTACGTCTTTGGGCTGCAGAGAGCCAACAAGACTCATAGCAAAACAGCAAATGCCATGCCTTTTCCGGCAGCACACCTTTCGTGACGAGACGGGTCCCAGCCTCCCTGGGCAGGCCATGGACTCCCTCCGTCAGCTGACGATGAAGTTCCTGGAGAAGGACGAGCTCGCGGGCTACAACTTCCAGGCGCGCCTCCGAGCTTCCGTGCTCCGACTTCGAGCCCCGCCTTCCTCGAAAGGCAGATTTCCTGAAGCCCTTCGAGACCATTATGGCTCCAGCCTCGGAAGAAGCTGAAGCGCTCGCTCTGGCTGTGTGGGGTTCTTGAGGTCGGGCCTCCACCCGTCAGCAAGGAGGTCAAGGACTGCAGTGGCATATTCCAGTGCTCAGATGTCCTTAGATGTCCTTAGCCTCCTGCCCCGGCTCTTCGGCGCGGAGGCTCGGTCCGAACCCGCACTCTTGTGCGTTATGCGTAACGTTCGCCATCTTCGCCCATTCCCCAAAGCCTCTCTGGGGCTCGGATCTCGTTTCGCAAGGCGCACGCAAGGTCGAAGAAGTGACGCGAGTGGCGAAGGGAGGGTGGGGACGACGAGCCGTGGAGGTTCAGGCCCGACATTTGGCGGGCGTGGACAAGCGGGACGGGCGTGATATCCGGTTGATGGGCAAAACGAGCCTGAGTTAGCCCGACCCTTCTTGCCATTTTCAGGACTGATTGTTTTGTACCAGTGTTGCAAAATCCACGAGAATGGCAACTGCATCCTTTAGAGCAGCTATGCTATACGGGTTTTTCAATTTGTCTTTGCATCCAATGCGCGTGTCACAGGACTACCTGGTCCACATCATTGCTTATATGGCTGATGCCACATCCTCAGATATCGTTTCATTTCTGCTCGCTTGATCCTGGATGCTTGCTACGACGAAGCGCCTTTGCTCACCCTGTCTTGTGCCGCCCGGGCACAAGGCAAGCTTTCGGAGCATCCGGTGCTGACCTTAGCAGAGCCTTCCTTCCTCCCTGGCCTAACATGTGGTTGGAAAAGGTCCGGATGGAAAGCGGTTCTCCACATTTGTGCTGCCGCTGCTCAAGATCCGTCACTCGGGGAGGCCTATGTTGCAGAGCCTTTTGCACCCGTGAGTGCTCCTAGCCTCATCAGCACAGGCGACAGTCGAGGTAGCCTTCAAAGTGGTGGAGAAGGTTCTCACTGATCCTCTTTTCAGCTTCTGCGCACCGGTAGTGATGGGAGGTCAATTTAGACGGCTCTTACCACATTTTCGTGGAGAACTTCACGGACGGCATTCGGGCCCTGCTCTCCTTCGCACAGTGCAAGGCTCTCCACGCAGATGTTCTCCTCCGATGTGGGGGAGCTCTGTGAGTTCAGGTCCAGGACAAGAAAATCATTGCCCTCAAGGACGCGCAGTCCCAGGGCGAAGAGAAGACAGCAGCCACGAAAGAGGCGCCTGGGACGGGAGGAGCCTCACAGGTTCGACTTCAGTGCTGTGTGGTCCCGACGAGCAAATGCGATGCCACAGGTCAGGGAGGACATCTCGGTTCTGGCGATAGGTTTCCTCCTCAAGGCGATTGGCTTGCTTCTACCCTGTGGCTTCGATGTCGGCAACAGGTTCATGTGTAAGGGCCGCAAGGGCTGCATCAGGAACAGTACGGAAGGCTGCACAGACTGGGGCCCTTGTTCAGTGTGCTGATGCAAAAGTGGCAGCAATTATACCGTAAGTTTATGTGAATAATACACATTAAGCCAAGGCTTGTTACAGGTCTGACTGCGCAGCACCGACATTAAATCTAGCACATCCAGGAAGCCGGTGGGCTACAAGCAGTAAAAAGCAAGAGTATGGTGGTAAGTACGTCGGGATAGGTCGTCTGAGCCCGGCCTCCGTGAGAGTGTCGAACTGTCTGGTTTGCTTTCACCAGTGGCTTGTTGTCGTTCCCGGAGGCCGCCGAATACTTAGCCGATCCACAAACGAAAGATCTCCCATCGGGTACTTCCCTGCCCCAGGACTTGATGCGGGGCGAAATGACAGGATAAGAGTGAGTCGTCATCATAGTCATCACGACCGGAGGATGTGCATTCTGTGACGGAGGGCCATCCAGCTGCAGCCTGGAACGGGCCCTGGCAAAGCACAGCAGCTAATTCCTGGATTTTCCTGTCTTGCAAGGTTTCCCATTCTGCGGGGCCTTTCCATGCTGGTGGGTGACCCACGAAGAGAGGCGCCACACTCGATATTTCGCCGTGCGGTTGTCTTGTGCAGAATTCTTTGGGCTGTTGGTTCAGGTAAGATCCAAGTCACTGAATGGCGTCTTCGACATCCTCCGAGAACATGGAAGGCAAGTCTTCGACGAGGATGCCCGGTCGTTGACGGTGGCCGTTTGCATCGGTGGCAGTTTGTAGGTCAGGCAAGCAGACGTATCAGGAAGGCCTGATCGAGTGTTGCACTAGATGCAACGCACCAGGACACTTGGCGCATGGTTTTCAACGGAGCCACGGACACAGCATGAAAGTGGCACCGGCAAGCTCACATGTCAGGGAAGACGATGCACATCAGCTGCCTACAGGTCATCAAGCCGCTGTTCGATGACATTCACCATCAGCTTGCCCCGCCACCTGATCACAAGGCGCATTCAGTCGAGGTCCAGGTTGTCATTCATGGTAAAACGCCGGACATTCCCTGCAGCTTGCAGTCACGCTGGGGGATCAGCCAGCACCCGTCCGGACGCCCCACCCGACTCCCACCGGAGACCCAGGTTAAGGTTGAGGCCAGAGCGCAGAATTGAAGACATGCAGCATGCAACCGCACCAAAGGGTCTTCAACAATCCGGTCCGAAGCAGCCCAGCACTAGTCCGACTGCAGTCGCAGGAAGTGAAGAGTTCGGCAGTTGCGACTGAGCTTGGTGTTGAGATGTTTTGATACATCTGCTCTGTTTCCGTGAGAAAAACAAGATCGGAAGCTGATAGCTGATGCTTCCTTCCGGGCCGTGTGAATTGCATCAGCATTTCTTTCTGAAATCTTCTTGGTGGTGTTCGGCTTCTGTGCGAACAGCTCTGATGTGGCACTGATGAGTAGCATGTACTCATCATCTGATTTGTCTGCCTGAAGAGCGACAAGACCAGTTGAATCGTGCTTGCCAAATGGCTTTGTTGCTCGGCTTATGTGTTGACTTCAATTCTGTTCA